TGTAGTGTAGTGTATAAGTAGCAGACCTCTCTCTCTCTCTCTCTTAAATGGCTAGACAGTCTTTCGCTTGGCGTGCTCGCAGTAGGTGACTGCATCGCGGATGACATTCTCCTTACGAATAATGTGTTGTCCAGAATTATGAGGAATTTCATGTCCACATTGAGAAGATTTACACGCATTCATGCAAATAAATGATGCGGAAAGACACAAGTGCATGATCGTGGTCTAATTCGATAAACAGCTAATTCGGAACGACCGACCACGCTAGCGCTTCAATCATAGTTTTTAACATCAGTTGTGTCATAATACCAACGTTTAGGTGTCAAAACTTGTGTTTACCCAACGCGTGGTTCAAATATTAATCTGCATCGTTACTTTCTTACCCCGGAAATGCGCACAGTCGAATTTTGATATGACACTATGGCAAGTGTAATGAAATTTTGAAGGGACTTGGTGTTTGGCACAAGGTTGGGTAATACTTTACCCAACTTTTAAAGGGATCGTTTAACAATGTTAAATCTGAGATACACGGCCCTACGTGTTATCAGTGTCTGTGATATGGTGTAATATTGAAGCCCTAAAAAAATTGCGCTTCAAAATGATCAAAAAGTGCCTCAAAAAAGCAAAAATCTTTGAGTGACCGGTTTTACCATACTCGTTTTCCCCAATAGACTGTAGTGTTATGAAAACCGTCAGGCGAACGGTTTTCAAAATTTGTAATTCCAATCATAAATATCTTGATAATCAGACAGGCGATCGGCTTGTAAAAGTCATGGGGCTCCTGACTGACCTTAAGGTTTATAATTATCATTGCATCATGAGCTAAATCCAGAATTTTATTTCAGAATCTGAGACAAAGTTACCGGATCCCTTTAAACAGCGATTTTGCCCAGCAAAATTTTGCACTCTATTTTTAGAGTGCAGGATTGAGTGACTGACTGACATCTTTTTTTCTTTGGTAATTACATTTAAATGAGCTGTAACAGGTACATGAACATTTGTCTACATCAATAACCCACTATATACTTGTAAATGGCCCAAATTAAACTGATTGAATCTTTGGGCAGCACAAAACGTACGACCATTTGGTTTTATAGAGTCTGACAATCAGACTGCTACTTAGGTGATTGCAATCATTTAAGTCGTTCGACAGCTGATGGTCGTTATTTTACCACTTAAATTCATGTTCAAGCCCTTTTGTTTTGAGGGAAGTTCTAAATTATTATTGTCTTTAAAATGCCGTTGGAATTTAACCTTTTTGGGGGGCATGCGAATGGGACAAAGTACCTTTAGAGCATGCATAATAGAGCAAAATATGAACATAACTTATGCAATTATGCAATTATGTACATAAATATCCTAACATTCACGAAACTGTGTTATCAATGACAAATGCAGAAAAGGAATAGGTAAAAATGTCTATCAAGGTTTTATGACCGGACTATACACTTTTATTTGTTATATTCCCCTATTTTTTCCCTATTTACAACCTGAATATTTGGATTGTTTGTTTTGCGGTTTCTCTCACGTCCTGTAAATAAGGATGTGTTTGGTTTCGATTACTTGTTCAATTAATGCGTTTAAAAGTTTGACCATAATTTCCTCGTATTTTTTCAAACCTAGTGTTTATGTATTAGATCGACTGTTGGCCTTGATAATTAATATGACGAAATCAACGTTTTTAAGAGCATTTATCATGCTACTGTAAACATGACTGATGACAAAGAGCAAAGGAATGTTTTGTGTTTATTAAACAAATACCAGTGTAGCCTGTCTGAGTGAAGATACAAATTAAGGTAGGTGTCATCACTTTCTGTGGGGCACTAGTTTTTGTTCTGATTGTGGTTATTGTTTTGTGTTTGTGTATTGAAGTTCATACCTACACTGTCGCTCATAAAGGTGGAATATTTTAGTTTTACCCCAATTTATGGAATTATTTTAAAAATTATTTAAAAATAATAGATATAGATAATAGTATACATTCTCAGATTTTATTGAATAATAACTTGCCAATGTGTGTTTTGCGGAACTGCTAAAACATGTGTATGCTAGTATGCTTATTAATTAGGGGACCTACGCTCTTAAGTCATAAATGACGGTAATGAGGATTAATGCCACACAAAATGGCACTAATATAGCACATCGACACGGTTTTGATCCTGGGGCCTCACAGTTACGAGGCTATTGCTTTGTCACTGAACCATGACTGTACGCAGCGGGGGCTAGGGTAGGGGGCAGTTTCCATAAATTAAAAAAAACAACAGAAAATGCAATACATTTTCAATAATTTATTGCATTTAACCCCGGTGCCTAACATAAAAAAAATTCTGTGTGCCCATGCCTTGAGCCATAATACATGGCCGTCCAGAGGATTTTTTTATGTTGGAGACCGGGGTAAAATGCAATAAATTATTGAAAATTTATTGCATTTTCTGTGTTTGGAATAAGAAAAAAATATTCCAACTTTATGAGCGACAGTGTATAAGACTGATATATACTAGGAAGATGAAGAGAAATCAAGGTATACCATGATGATAATTCGATATGTTGCGCAGTTGCAAATGCGGGACCCCCTTCATTATCTAAGACACATGGATCTCATGTACACAGAAGAAAAGCTAGGACAATAATGTAGAGGTCTTGTGTTCTAGTGGAAAAGTTATCGGACTGTAGGTCACAATAAACGGGATTCAAATCACAGCCTTGTACTAATGTCCTTTTGCAAGACGTTAATCTAAATTTCCCACTCTCCATCCAGGTGTAAATTAGTACCAGATGACATTTAGGGGGAACTTTCAGGGAGGGTGAAAAACCTTTGTGTTTTTAGGGGCGGGTCGTTTTTTGTTTCAAATATCCTTGTGCGCCAAATACTGTATTGCAATATGTCAGCATGACAGTGACAAGTTTTCGATAGGGCAGCAATTATGTATCCTCTTCACAGGTTTGATATCAGCTACCTGTGCCATGCCAGACCCCATACCTAACACCATAACAACCTTGCCGAACCAGACGCTGGATACAGGTTCTTATATCACATGGGAATGCGTTGATGGATACATGATGGATGGCCAGACAAACACTGCTGTATGGGTGTGCTTAGAGGACGGGTCCTGGCTGGGTCATGCACCCATATGCACAGGTAAGGGCTTCACATGCTCAAATAAATCAATCCAAATCAGCGCAATATATAGAGATTAAAACAAAAATAAATATTTTACTATGAATTGAGAAGGAAAAAACAACATTGCATGACTCAAGTTTAAACATAATAGACATGCATCAAATTGTATATGGAAGATATTGTATTTGTGTCTTATAGTTTTTAATAATTTATCTTTATTAATTATGGAATACAATGACTCATATATTTTTTTCTTTTATGGAGTAAATTGGTATGATATTTATTTGGACTAATTAATCATGTTAATGTCGTACTGTTAATAAGCGGTCGGGATTTTTTATATTAGCTGATAGATAGTCGATGACAGTGTAATATAGCAATCATAAAGACATCTGAGAAAACATCTCAAGGTCAATTTCAATACCATATTGCCTGACCATTATATTTTATGTATGGATTAAATAATACGTCAGTGTAATGTCTTGTAATATTTTAAAAGATGGCGTACAAGACCATTGGAAAAGACCATTGTAATGGTTCACTAAAAAATTTAAATGTATGCATACTGTTTGAATAAAGGTTGTTCTTGAGACATCGAGAGCTTGCTCGAGGCTTGCTCTACAAAGCAACGAGTAATGTATACAGACTGGATTCATCTATCATTCATTTATCCAAAACAGGTTAATGTAATAGCTCGTCACTATATGTCCCCAGGAAAGAAACATCCACAAATTTGAATATTTTAGTAAACCGATCTATTGCCTTAGATTGCTTTTTCGAAAGTAGGTGCGATCATGTTTAATAACCATTAATCATGTTTTTTGCAGCTATTGAGTGTCCGTCGCCTCCCATAGCTGCTTATTCCGAGCTCGATCCTCTATTGGCTGACACACACATAGTAAACCAGACGATATCATATACATGCAGGAGCAGTGAATACACTCTGCTTGGAAGTAACTTGAATAGATGTCTACAAGATGGCACATGGGAGAATGATCCACCCGTCTGTCAAAGTAAGTATACAAATCGAATTCAACGTGGCAACGTGTATTGTTACTATTGTCTGATACCTGTTTTTGGCACACATCCTTATGAGTTAAAGACATAAGGCTAAAATGTGCTTCTTATATATTCAACTTTGTGAGAAATCTAGAAAACAGCACAGCTTTAGCTTTTACAATATTGCATTAGAAGCACGAATTAGTTCATGTATTTGCAGGGAAATTTTGCATGCATAAGAAACGGTCTAACATGACAAAATGAACTGAAAGTGTCGGGGAGAGACACGATTCCTCTTTTCCATTATACCTGGTTACTGGTTATGCCGATATTTAACGTCAACTGTAAATTACGAAATGAAATTTCTTGTATTATACATATAGAGCCTTAATATATATCTTCCTCTTCTTTAGTTTTGTATAGCGCACATGTTTATAATGCAGTGATGATCCTGCCTTTCAAACATCTTTAACCCGGTCAAAGCCGAACAGCCAAATATGTAGTGGATTGTGTTCCAGTAATTCGGGTTCACATCTAAACCTGGGTGGAGAGTGGCAAATGTTGATTAATATCTGAATTACCAAAGGACGTTTTATCCCGGAAAGGGATTCGAAAATTCAACCTTTTTAATGGGAAGTCAAGTAACTTAACCACTTTACCACGGCACCTCAACACATAAACTTATCGAACATGAAACTATTGTAAACTGTAGCAGAGAGAATAATCGATTTGTATGCATGGTGTTGTCTTCTGTATGCGATATTTTGTTTGAATTTTTTTGTTAACCATTTATTCGATCATAATTTGTTACGTTAAAGGAAAGTGTGATACAGCCGATACTCTACGTTACACTAATCTCACCTGCTTCCGTACAAGTAATATGGAGAGAACGTGGGATAACTCATCTAACTTCTGCTATGATGATAACGGGGAGTTACTTGTCACAGTGAAAGATGTTGACATGCAGAACTTTATTGCCCAATTAACTAACGAAAACTTTGACTATAACGTCTGGATCGGTGCAAGGGAAGGTCTAGACTGGAAATGGAGACAAAGTGAGTTCGCCATTTGTTAAGAACATTCAAGATTCAATCCAAGCTAAATGGGAGCATGCATGGTTACTTATGCGTAATACGTACATATGGGGAAAAAGGATTTCATCAATACACAAATAATATCTGCAAGTTCGCGGTTTAGGACTTTTTTTCTTTATTTTTACATTTTAGAAAATGGACCGTTGATATTCGGTTAAGCAACGTCAGTGCATTAGCATGTTTGGGGGGAAATTGTGTTCGTGTAAACCTGTGTATGGTATATGACACGAGCTTGTCCACCAAGAGTTAATGAGCAGATACTTATGCATTGTAATTTTATACCTGATTATGTCAGGAGCATGAGAACTGAGAAAATGGGGCTTTTTAACGTCAGTTTGTAAGATTTCTCACAGTGTTTATCCATATTTATTAATCAGGTGACACAAACATCGATCGCTTCTTTTGGGAGATAGCATTCCCTTATCAAAGCTCGGGAGATTGCATCGAGTTATCATATCAGAGTACCTCAGGTGAATTTGCATGGAGTCCTAGGTCATCAGGAGACGAGATTGGTTTGCTATGCCAATATAGTGAGTATAAGCAACTTTGGCTCTTACTAGAACTAATGACTTTTTAATGACCACCGTTCTCGCGGCCTGAAATTAACCTTCACGAATCCCGGCACTTAAGTTTTTGTGATTCATTACACTTGCTGGCGGAATTTTTTTCGCGAATTCTTACCTCTCGCAAATTCGAGAACGTTCTTGTTCTGTAATATTTTTCTAAGGCCTCGAATTTGTTCATTTCTCAGAGATTTGCAAGGAGTCTTGAATACAAAGAGATGAGCGGACGAGAGAGTAAGGCGTTACTTAATTATCCAGAGTTACAGTAAACGTTACGAATATGATATCGTTACTAGATTTGGTTTAAGTAAAGGTATTCCAATTAGGAGTGTTGAATAATATGCAACGATCCCGTGATACTTTTAAATTTAAACACCGAGAAACATGAAACTTTACACTCCGCTCGTATGTACGTCGTAACAGCATGACTTTTCCAGTGTGTGCAGGTCTTGGCCGATATTAAATTTGAATAAAAGCAGATATATCCCATAGACACAGAATAAAATTACTAATCGCTGATAATATTAATAATAGATAAATTAATAACGCGCCCAATACCTTGTTTCTAGGCCCAGTGGTACTGCATGTTGTCCCATCAGCCATTAAGTGAAGCGCTGTCCTTACACGAAATAAAAGCCGAGACGACAGCACCACGATACACACAATATTATTCAATAAACAAATCAAGTATGTTACAGATAAATAAACTAGATTTGTAATACTTGTTTGGAACAAGTATAGGTGGGCTGGTCGAACTAAAATTTGAGACAAAATAAAGGGTACATTTGAGATAGCTTATTGTCTCAGCTACAACATACTCGAAGTTCAGCGTAAACGAAGCTAAACGACAGAGATATTGCTCGCGAAAGAATCCAGTTTTGAGAAAAACTCATGTCCCACAGAAGATACACTCAAAATGTGAAAAATTGACATGCCTTTTTTAATCGCGAAAATACGCCCTGATGCCTTTGTCAAAATGAAAATTAGAGCCCATTTTATTTGTAGAGAATTGTCTCAGCTAAAACATGTCAAAATTTTGAAGACAATCGATCAATATTTACAGAGAAACAATCAATTTTCCTTAAATATGCTGACGTCATAATATGCAAATTGAAATTTTGAGTTTGGAGGCCATTATGATGATGTCATGAGTTAATTGAGGGTCAAATGAGACATGAAATCATATCTCCGATTCATACTCTATCAAAATATGAAACAAAAATTGGATCACCATGTATCCTAAAGAGTTACAATGGATTTTGTATAGGCATGTTTTTGCCCATATATGCTATGTATTACAAGAGCTCGCGCGCACGGAAATTTATGTTAAACGGTCGATCATTCCGTTATTAATAGTCATAAAGAGACAAACATGGTATCAATTTGTTTGTTAAAAAATGTGAATTATTATGAAAGAAAAAAATGGCAATTCTATGTTGTGTAATAGTTTTACGCGCGAAAACGCGCGCGCATGCTCGCGCGCGCGATTTTGTATAAAATGCTTAGAATTGCCTAAAACGTATGCAAAATGATTTTGAGACAATTTTGAGCATTTTAAAATTTTGCGCGCGCATTAACGCGCGGACGTACGCGCACGCGCGCGTTATTTGACCTGAAATTGACCGGACGGATATTGACCTTGATCATGATAAATATGAATGAGAAATAGCTTTTGGTTATGAAGATATGATCTTGATTTGATTTTCGTAAAATTTTACAAAATGGCGCCTAGATGACGTCATCAGTCAATGTCAAGATTGAAAAAATTGCTGTGTTTTGTACATATGCCTATACATATGTGTGCCAAATTTCAAGGCATTTGATCGAGCCATTTTTAAGTTATCTTGCCAACAAAAAAGTGGTTAGAAATAAGAAAAATATTTAATAATAATAATAATAATAAATAAAGGCAATTCTAACGAAATTATAAGGTGGTCTGTACGATATACAGCCCACCTGATAAATCAAATTAATGTAAACTCAAACTCAGACTTATTTCATAACTAAAAGTAATACGATATCTATTTATTTATTGTGACATGTTTAGAGAAAACAGAAATTCATGATATGGATTATTCCGATTTGACAAATGGGTTTGAAAATGTGTATAGAGGGAGAATTTTGGATGTAGGACGGGAGGCTATTCCGCAACTGGGGGCGGCTTCAGAAAGTGCTCTATAGCTCTATTTTGTTTGCAAGTCTTTTTTGTGTATGAGCAACTAATTTTTTTCATGATTTTTTATTTTTTTAAGTCATTTGTTCTAGAAAGATAGTCCATGCATCATTCTGTCGAATCATTTTTGTGCAATCTTTAGATCGAACTTGCCAGAGAGTTGGACTCATCCAATCCGACATGGTTCTAGAATACATGGGCACCTGTTTCCAATTCCTGGATGTTTCGAGGAACTGTGATGACGGGGCCGAAGAGTGTAATGAGAGAGAAGGATTTCTGGCTGAAATACTCGATGAGAGCACTAATGCTTTATTGGTAGACCGAGCCCTGTATCTGAGAAGCATAGGCGTAAACACGGCATGGTGGATTGGTGGTTATGACGAAAACTCCGGACGGTCCTGGTATTGGTCTGATAGTACGTGATTCCTCAGAAATTATAGTGACAGTAAAATGTAGCTTGTATTTGTTTATTTAAAGACAAACATTTATCTTTGAAACAAAATCTAACAATATTAGAGGCCGAAGGATATATACTGTAAACAGAAATTGATCGGTATACAATTTGCCACTTTTTGTATTCAATGCCTATACAATAAAACTTCCCATTATTTTTTTTCCTATTTTAACACAGAAATTGAAATCAGCATCAATTGTATCGGTCATTAATTTAAAGGTCTGAAAATCCTGGTGATATTTGGCATTATATAAGTAATTCGTTGCAGTCAACATATACTACACATGAAAAAGAAATCATTTAGCAAATTGAGATCCTCAATCACTTGTATTGTATGAATGTGGTTATTAGTAATGTATGTTATGACTTCCTGGAAAGTAATAACATGAAACTTACTTTAAATATCGTCAATGCGTATGTTTTGATAGAAAACCTTTCATATGACAGTAAGACGGGGCCCAGGTGTCAACAAGTTTAGATATTTTACCTGCATTTGCTAATTTTTAATTGAATGAATTGAGAAATAAAGTCTTGAAAGCAATGAAAAGAAAATAATATTACAATAAAAAAAAAAAGATACATTAAACAGTTTTGTAAGAATACACGATTTTAAACTACACATCCTGCTATTGAACCTAAGCAATTTAAATAAAAACAATACCGAAAATTTACACACTCTATATCGGGCACATCTTGTATGCTATAAATGCAAATCTGAATTAAACAAGACCCAAGAGTAAAGTCTGGAATTGACTATTCCAAATACAGATCAGCATGTACGAGTAGAATGGAAGCTAGTATTTTTATACTAAGACTTTCTAATGGAAGTAGAAATCAGAGCAACTTCCTAACGCATAGAAGGACATCATATTCATCATACCATGATTCATCTCTTTCTTCAGAAACTCGAATGAACTATGAGGAATGGTACGAGGGCCAACCTAATAGAAATAGCCAGGACTGTGTAGAAATGAGAATGGATTTTCAGTACCAATGGAATGACCAATATTGTTCAGACCGAATTCGGACTCTATGTCAAATTGGTGAGACAATGTGAAATATACCTTTTGAATATCTGTTACGGGGTCATGGAAATGTACAAAAATACAAAATGAATATATTAGAAAGCTTTTTTGAACAGATGACAAGAATTATAGCTGAGGTGATTTGAAAATATTTGAACTATCAAAATATTGCGTATTGTGTAAAGATCATGATACATCATATATTGTTTACGGTTTTCTTCATGTAAACGAAGGAATGGAAAGAATAAATGAATGAATTAAATATCAGAATGGATGTTTCAGTAATAAGTATAAAGATTTGTCTCATATATTTTTCCAGGAATTCCTGCCTGCGGTGACCCAGGTGAACCTTTGAAAGGTCATCGTTTACCAGACGATAGAACAACTTACTCTGTCGGTGCTACTCTTCATTTCACCTGTCAGGAGGGCTATACATTATCAGGAGAAAGCGTTTTAAGGTGTATGAATGATGGAGCATGGAATCACCAAAGACCATCATGTGAAGGTAAAGTGATTGTTAGGTCAATAATTAAGACATAATAATTGAGTCCTATTTACCAAGAAAGTATCCCCATCAGCATCAATACTGATCTTCCTCGTCTTTCTTCAGATCCTCGAATTGTTATTACCCCTGCAATTACCAAGTGGCTTTTTACACCTGGCTTGATACAGGCATATGTGGATTTATTTCTTGCTAAAGGACATCCGTACCGAGATGAGATACAAACCCTCAACGAATGAAATGAGAGTCAAGTGAATGAACTACTACACCATATGTCGTTTCTGAAAACTCATGTGAGATCAGTGTCAACGTTTACAAATGATTTTCCGAAATTCATGAACATTTTATGAAGTCATGCTCTTAGACGGGGGTGTAAATGCTAGCGTAGTGACAATTATATACCTCTCTTTAGTATGTTGAATAAATCTAGCCATCTGATTAGTTGAAATTGGAGTCGGGATTTTAGCCATGCCCGCCTAACAGTCAATATTTAATGAGAAAGATGTCCGTTGTCTCGGTTAACGGGCCTCATAGTTAATTTTTGCTGAAATCCCCATTGCTTTACGTGTAAAAAGTTTCGTTGTGCGAGCGCGGATATCATATAGTGTAGTGTGTGTGCGATTCCCGAATGATCGTTACATTCAGGCAACTTTCCAGCTAAGATTAACAGACAGTGTCACAGATTTTCTGTGATGTTTTAACCAATCTTTACTCAAGAAAGGATAAGGTTGGAATTCTTTGTATTTTTTTTGTGTGAATTTTGTAGAGTTACGGACTGCTTTGATGTTCGAAGCATAGCTGTTTCTATACGATACTGGCTCTCGAGGACGTTACACCCTGCTATGACCCCGAGGCGCGCCGGGGCGGTCCCCTTGAGCCTATAGAAATAGCCTTGCCTCTCATAGCAGCAGGGGCGGCCGAGCGACTTCCAAAGTGGGGGGGGCACCAACAAAAAAAGGGCACTTTCTGGAAAAAAGGGCACCTACAGTGGGAAATCTCAAAGCGAAAATATACAATTTTTTAGACATTGGTATATACCCCTACATTGTGATTGCATTATCAGGGATGATTTCAATATTTGTTTCTCTTCATACATCTTACAAGATATCGCTTAAGCATCATACTTTACAGTTGGGTGTGATGTCTGAATATGCATTTACGAGCGAGCGAAGCGAGCGAGAAAATTTTTAAAGATCTTTGAGGTCGCAGTGCGAAAAATTACATCTCATAAAGAGGAAAAAAGCCAATCGTGATGGGGTTATAAACACATTCTCATAACGGAAGACTGAAAAGACCTTTGATAAGTAACATAATTATATCATCTTTAAATGCGAGCAAGCGCAGCGAGCGAACTTTGGGGGAAATTGCTCTTAGTCGCTTTAAATAAGGGGCACGTTTAATGATTACATGAAAAGGGGACAATTATCAAAAGGGATAAGACACTTATTAGAAAAGAAAAGGAGCACGTGTCAAAGTACAAAGGATAACTATAAGAAGTGAAAATGAGGCATTTTTTCACCTGAAAAGAGGCACTCACCAGTGATGAAAAAAAGGCGTTTACGAAAATGGGAAATAGGCATTTGTTGACGGAAAAGGGGCACCCATCAGATTTTGATAGGGGCATCTATAAGAGCTGAAAAGGGGATAGGTCCCTTATTAGAAAGGAAAAGGGGCAGGTATCATTATTAAAAGGGGAATTATCAGAGTTGAAAAGGGGCACTGACCAGATATGAAAAGGGGCACTTATGAAAATGTAAAAAGGACACTTATAATAAAGGAAAATGTGCATTTTTCGAAAAAAGGGGGCACCGTTCAGATTTTTAAAAGGGGCAGTTATGAGAAGGGGAAGGAGCCCTTTCTTTTCAATGGGGGCACTTATCATAAGGAAAAGGGGCACTTATTAGAAAGGGAAAGGGGTAGTTATGAGAAAGGGAAGGAGCTCTCTCTTTTTAATGGGGGCTCTTATCATAAGGAAAAGGGGCACTTATTAGAAAATAAGAGGGGCACATGTTAAAATGAAAGGTGTGCTCATCCGAGTTTAAAAAAGGGGTAGTTATTAAAAGGAGAAGGGGCACTTCTTACAAAGGAAAAAAGGGGAAGTTGTCAAAGTAAAAGGAGCACCTCTCAGTTTTGAATAGGGCAATTATCAGAGGTGAAGGGGGCACTTATTAAAAGTGAAAAAGGGCACTTCTCGTACCTGAAAAGAGGCACTTACTAGAGATTAAAAAGGGCACTTATTCAAGATAATTTCAAGATTTATGAGCATGGAAAATGGACACTTATTGCAAAGGAAAATGGGAACATGTCGAAGGAAAAGGGGCACGTGTCAAAAATAAAAGGGGCACTCGTCAGAGGTGAAAAGGGGGAAGGGGCACTTTTACTTAGTAATAGGGGCACTTGTCAAAGTAAAAGGGGCACCTTTCCTATGTAAAAGGGGCACTTCTTACAAAATAAAAGGGGCACTTTTCCTATGTAAAAAGGGGCACTTTTGGGGTATCTGAAAAAGTGGGGGGCACTGTGCCCCCCCCCTGCCCCCCCCCCCCCCCGGGAGAACCGCCTCTGCATAGCAGTCAATATATCTATATATCAAACTTCAGTAATATGCGGCTGAAAATCTGTTTAATACTAAATCATGAAAACAGGCGTCGTTGAAACTTCCTACATTATTACCGTCAATAAAACTTCTTATTCATGACGGATAACTATAATGTATGTTCATGTTAGAGCTAGTGATAAATAAACACAATTATATACCTCACTTAAGAAATCCAGCCATCTGATTGGTCGAAATTGCATTCATAAACTTTAACTATTTCTGTAAAATTACAAGTAACCATGGTTAAAACAGTTCTAAAATCCCAATAACCATGGTTACCGGGAAAATAGTTCAGTCTCCATGGTTACCCCATAGGTTTACATGTTAAAAAATGGTTTGAGCGATCGAGGATACCGTACGTGTGCGAAGAATTGGTCGCTATATTTTACCAATTTTGTAATACAACTAGCAGCGAATCCGGGCTAACTCGCCCCACGGGACATCTCGCCCCAGCATCAAAGACTGGGTCGAGATGTCCCGACACGATTCACCGATCGAGAGATACCAATGTGTATATGTTTGTGCTCATTGTACATTTTAGACGATATGGCTGATATTTGTTCACATTCTTTCGTCCTGGCAGTTAATTAGCAGACTACTGGTATCTCTCGATCGATAAATCATGTCGGGATATCTCGCTGGGGCGAGATGTCCAGTGGGGCGAGTTAGCCCGACTCCCTAGTAGCTGCCAGCGCAGACGACCGACTGTACTAGGCCAAAATGGCGGAATTAGAAACGCTCCCAAGATTTCAGCTTCTTGATGACGATCAAATGAGAGACTTGATTGATTCTGCTGACAGCAAGAACACGAAAAATTCCGTTAAATGCTCCATGAAAATATTCGAAGACTTCCTGCGAGTTATCAAGACAGACCTCGATAGCGTAAACAAGCTTTCAAATTCGGAGCTGCCGAGGGCAATAGCACAATTGTAACCTTCCCTTGAGCGTATAAAAACAATTATTTCTCTCAAAGCAGTCATTATTACTATATTAATATAGCAAATTGTACCAACACTATGTTAAGATGTCAAGAGAAACATTATCATCCCTTAATGAACTATGAACAATGACATGATATTCATCTAGTCTCTCCTGTTTTCCTTAATAGCTGTCGAATGTGAGGAAAGTCCACCAAACATCACACATTCCTCCAAAATGATACTAGGATCAGTGTGTCAAGATATTGCTCTATACACCTGTCAAGATGGTTATATTCCTGATAGTGAACCAATCAGCTTCTGTCAGCATACAGGCACATGGAGTACACCTAACTTTACATGTACAGGTAAGATAATATCTATTTATTTATTCTATGTTCTTAATACAGGGTAGACACTTCGGTACAATAAAAAGTTGAATTTAGCGCAGGTAGATGGTTTGTTTTACCTGTCAGCTAAATATGCACTGTAAACCTTGGAATTGAGTCACCAGGGGACTGACTGCTTTTGGGCCTATCCGAGGAACTGGGTAGTGCGGACTAATGCCTTATTGAAGGGTGCTAGCGGATCGGCTTTGTTAAGACCTCTGCTCTAACACTGAGCTGTCGTGAATATGTGTTAATGTAGCAGCATAGTGATGCGACTATAAAGAACAGTTAAGCTCGCTATAGCGATGATTCTAATCTAAGGACAATGATTTCAGTTGCCAATGTCTTCTCTTGTTCTTGATATTCACTGTTTTGTATTCCCAACACTCAGCCCATGTTACAGTAACCCCTGTATAAATGGAGGTACTTGCCCATGAAGTAGATGGTTTATCATTTACATGTACATGTACCCAAAATTACACTGGTTCCACCTGTGATGAAGTTAAGGCATCCATATATATATATATATATATATATATATATGTGTTGTGAACTAGTGGTTAGGGCTCCTGACATTGAACACAATACGGGTCGGGGTTCGAATCCCTGTCGTATCACAAACATTTCTTTTGGCAAGACATTGATCTACGCTTGCCACATTCAAACTTTTAAAAATGTAGTAAGTGGGTACCTGGCAGGATTCATTTCTTCAATGCACTGAGCAATACGCCTGCCGACTTTACCATTGTACTTCGCTCATTTTGTTCTTCACAAAAAAAATCTTCCAGTGCTTTCAATGCAAGTACCATAACTAACTTTTAGTTTACTAAACATAACCAATTTCACCACTCTATCCCACCTGCTATTTGAGGACCTTTTTTTTTTATCTTGATCCTTAAAGTGAAACGTTGTTGTTCATTCTTTCAGAGATAAGGCTTACGACATCATTCACTTTTACTACGCAAGCTTCTCCGCAAAGCGCATAATCACAAACAGGTCCTGGTGTGACTTTGTATCAAGGTATTAATCTGTTTTAATAAAGACTTTCAAAACGGTTTACTTCGAAACATCGGGTCTTTATTTATTATTTAACCATTATCTGTGATGCTACCTTGGTATTTCTAATTTATGTCATTTTTTCACTACCATCCTAGTTCCCACACCAACCTCTTCACGTACTTTTTCTTCTCCACCAAAATCAACTCCCGCTGGAGCTTCTTCAATTTCCATATCAACTGTCGTAGGAAGCGCTGTTGGTGCTATTCTTGTGATTGTTTTCGTTATAGTTCTCATCATCATGTTTTGCAAACGAAGAAGGTTAGAGAGTTACCTTGTACTTAACCCGTCTTTCTCATCAGTCCATTATCATCGTAAAACCGTATGGTTATGGAAATAGCTGAATTAAGATTGTACTTTAACAAGAAAATTATTAATTTATTTAATTCCTTTTGTTCTAATGTTGTCCAATGTAAATATTATAAAGCATAACGCTTTTCAAATGTAATGGCAACCTATTTAAAATACTTATTATGTAAATTACATTTATTTCAAAAGTACTACACTAAATCCCACATCTCAGATTGACATGTTTCTATATACATGTACCTACTTTCGCTCACATAGTTTAAAATTTACTTAATACTTACATGAATATTATATTTCCCCATCTGCTCATTCCAATATTATATTTTGTTTAATGTGTGTGCTCATTATAAGATACATATGTTTATATGTTTTGTAAAAACGTTTTTGATTATGTTGATACAGGGCTCCTTGGTCGATCAGTTTTTTTAAAACTGAAAGGGCGATCATGTCAAAATAAAACTACAAATTAAAAAAGAAAAAATTCTTAGGAGTTGATGTTTTTCAAATCATGTATTTTATTAATGCAATTTATCTATGCTCTCATAATAATAACTTTCAGTAATAATTCAGCAACTTCTAAGTCTGAAGGAAAGGAGTCCGATTCGTCTCCGCAGTATGAGAACCTTGTATTTGATCAGTCACAGACAGACGCCCATACCTACCAAGACTTGAATACTATCACCCATACCAACCAAGATCGTAATACCGATGTTCAGAGCTACGATGATACTGCCGACCTTCATACCTACCAAGAACCTGATCAAGAAGCTAACTACGAAGAACTGAATGATGCCAAAGAGAACGATTATATCACAGTGATATGATACAATATTAAATAAAGTGTTATTGGGCTGATTAAGAATTGAATACGTAAGAAGAAGATAAACACACGTCCATCATAATAATTTTTATTTAAAAAGTTTTATAATTTTGTCTTAATTCATCACAAAATGTATGTCCATGTATCAATTTTTTCGTGAAGATGAAAACATGTTTTGAAAATTATCATGAAATATTTAAATTTATCTTAAAAACTGGAGAAAAAAAATAAAGGGCTACCCTGTCAAAATAAAACGACAAATAGACAATTAAAAACATTATTGGGAATTGATGAATTTTCAAATCATGTATTTAATTAATGCAATGTATATATGCTTTCATAATATTAACTTTCAGCAACTTTGGGCTAATTAAGAATTGAATAAATGAGAAAAGATAGATCCAAGTCCATCATAATAATTTTAATTTAAAAAAAAGGTTTTTATAAATTTGAGAGACAAAATATCTTCAGTCTTAATTCATTACATAATATATGTCCATGTATCAATTGTTGCGTGAAGACGAAAGCATGTTTTTAAAATTATAATGAAATATTAACATTTATCTTAAAAACTGGAGAGAAACAAAATCTATGCTGATGGATTTGGGCGCTTCCTCTCCTATATACAAATAGAATACAAATATCCTCTTCATTGAAATGTGTTTTCTATTGTTATTTTCTGAATAATGTGATTGATGAATAAGGACGAAAAGTTATGAAAAAATATTATGGCTTCTTTTCATCCTGTGCTCCTCCTTAATTTGCATACTGTCTTACTCGTGTTATTCTAAGAAACCTTGATATCGACGATCAGTAGAAAGATTCTCTTTAAAATACCATGTTGGCAGTAGTCTGATACATTTGGGTAAATAAAAATGAAGACCAAAACGTGAAAGTCAGGGTATGGGATGAGTTTCTTTTATGGATTTATATATACTTATCTTCCTTTAATGAAGCACCGTAATTTTTTTAAATAATATGATTGATGTATTAAAAAAACTCTCACATCATGGAGCAACAAATCAGAGGTATCTGTTGGAACCGATTTTTAGAAATATAATATATGTTTGGAATGATTCGATGCAGGTACAAATACATAGGAAAATGTATTTAGCCATGTATATACACGTATGCCACGAGGTACGAAAGCATATTCCTTTTGAGATATTGGTAAGGAAACTATTATATTCTACTGTATTGATTGCTAGTGTTATTGCCTGGTATTGTTAGTGGAAGGCATTTTTTCCACATTTGAGGACAAGACTGAATAAACTATCACATATTTCTATCATTAATATTATTATTTTTATTACTACTACTATCATTGTTATTATTATTACTACTACGACTACTACTAATAATGATATTAATTATACTAAGTAGTGAAATTCAAGTTGATTCGCGTTTATTAATAGGTTGTTTTGATGCTAACAATGAACTCTAAATATGAGATGTACAAGAAAGACATAGACTATACTACAGTATAGTAGAGGTGTCGTGGTCAAGTGGATACGTCACCGGACTGTCGATCACAAGGTCTGCGGTTCGAGTCCCACTGCAGCAATAATGTCCTTTGGCAAGACATCGATCTACATTTGCCCCACTCGACCCAGGTGATGTAAATGGGTACTTGGCAGGAATTAATTCCTTGAAATGCTAGAGCGCCGTAATGGCAGCACAGCTAAAGCCGCTTAATAACTTCAAACATTTGTTAGGGCGTCTTGAGCATCCCTTGGGGTGGATATGAGCGCATTATAAATGTGGTTGATAATTTGATTTGATGTTAACAAAGAATTATTTTTAAAAGGTTGTTATTATTAGTATACACAGTGACACACGTGAAAGCATTGTGTTATGTAAGGATGGATGTTTAGGTAAAAATGTAAATACATGTATTAGAATCAAAAGCTAATAAGTAGAATTAGATAATGCAATTCAAGTCAACATTATTATATTACTATATGAGCGGTGGATGTTTTAGCACATAATGAATTTGGATAGTGATAAAAAAGAATTATAGAACACACAATATGTAAACATCAAGGAATAAAAACAGTAAAAATACAAAAGGAAAAAAATAATTTTATTGGTTTTGTGTAAACTCGTAAATTTGCTCTTTGAACGTTTTTTTACCAAAAATAATTCGTGTCATTGTTTAAGCAGTTTGGAATTTGGCAGACAGCGCTAACCAACAGTATCAAGCCATATTAATTACGGTTAACTAATTAATACATGCAAATTATAGTACATTGATCGGGGGGGAAAATGATTATTGTAGAGGTTCTAGGACAATTAAACCCTAAACACTCGTCCCCGGCCAATGATCAGCGGGACAATTACCCCCCCCCCCCCACCCCCTCGGAAATTACCCCAGAGGACAATTACCTCCTGGTAAATTAGCCCACTAGGATATACCCCCCCCCCTCCCCCAAGGAAATATTCCCCCTCCCTCTGAAAATTATACCACTGGATAATCACCTCTCTCCCCTCCCCCCCCCCCCTAAAAAAAAGTTCTGCCTATATCAAAACCAACTTATTTTCAGGGTGGACTTCCTCTTTAATAAACAGGGGGTAATTTTCGGGCGGGGGATAATTGTTGTTGGGGTGGTTGTCCATGGTTGTCCTCGGGAGGGGAATTGTCCTTGTGGTATTCGTTCACTGGAGGTGGGGTGTAATTGTCCTCGGGGGTATTTTTCGGGGATAATTGCCCCAATATTGCTCCGATTGTCTCATTTTCGCTCGCTGGAACATTGCCAGCACAAACCACTGACCTCTACCTCCGGGACGGATCATCGCCCATTTCCATTCACTATACGTTACGTACTAAAAGGCTGTATTGTCTGACCGTTCATGAATATTCATGTTTTTGCTTACCTCGGAAAAAATGTTTGCTTTTACTAAATGGAAAAATTACGGTTGGGGGGGGGGGAGTTGGATGAAATGGACATAATGAACCAAGCAATAGTTATCTATGATCATTCATGCTTCTTATCATTCGTGTGCTTGACCTATAATCTTAAAATCGCTTGTCAAACTGAGTCCAAAGTTCGACTTGTTTCACATGTGTATTATAGGCAATGACGAGCTTGCAACCTATTTTGATCAAATTACGGTTGGTGAACTTTCAAAAGTGAATGGGACATGAGGGTTCCAATGAAAGAGCTAGTGATAACGTAAGTCGAGGTGGATGTGCTTTTCGTTTAAACAAAAAATTAATTTTCAAAGATTTTTTTGTTTACAATTCCATAGGCTAACATGTATGGCTGCTGACTCTGACGATAGGGGGCGTTGTGGAATGAGACTAAACAGAGTTGTTCGGGGATGGTTGTCCTTGGAAGAGGGGGAATTTCAGCCCCGTCCCTCCCCACGTATAAAACACAAATACAGTCATTCTGCTCGACGAGATCTCATCGGCTCTGACTACATTGGACTTCACCTGCGCAGTCTGTTAAACAGGTCAACATCTACAACTGATCATCGATAATCAACTTATGAACTGAACTTCAAAAGAAAACCGCTCTAATGAAGTAATTTGCGGTAAACTTCAGATTTTTTTAGTAGAGTTCATTCAATCAGCACAACAGTAATAACAATATAATTCAAAACAAGATTAATAAAAGAATAAGACGGCCATTATCTTTTAAATATCAAGTATTTACAATCCAGTCTGCTGTGCATGCCAATGATATTAGCATTAATGTACTGTAAGTGAATATGTAAAAGGTTCGTAAAAAAGCTCCCCCTTAAAATAAAAAAAAAAGCTTGAACTGTCTTCTCAACAATATTGAGAATCAAAAGTGTGAAATTACATTGCAAGGATATGAAAGGGCTATTTGACTCTCCAAAGCCCTTTCATTTCATTTCATAAATAACCTCTCTATCTCTTTTATAGACAATTTCTCTCCTGAAAGTCAAATAAACTCGAGAGCACCTTGGGGCTCCGCATGTCATGCCAGGCCCCTCAAGGGTCTATTGACGATTGACCATAATAATTATCAGGCGAATGGCATCCCATGTTTCGGACCTTACATCTTTCATAGCAATCACATCTGGACCGTCAAAAAAAAAATTTGAGAACCCCCGCTCTAGATCATAAACTATGTAGATAACATCGAATTACTGGCAGCACTGCGATGTTTGGAAGTTTACTATGACACGTTCCCCCATGTAGCGAGCTTTAATTTGATGATTTTACTCGAACTTTTTATCTCGGTTATGAGATCATTATTTTGGTGTTTGGATCCCAAGATTTCATTATAAAAGATGTGAAAACTTTTTTGACAATCTAATAATTCTCGTTTTATGAGTCACATATATTGCTATTTTCTCCGAAAGCTCTCTCTCTCTCTCTTTGGCCATTGACCAGGGCCCATATTCATAAAACCATAATAGTTGTCAACTAATTACATAGGCCATATAGTCACTAACCACTGCTCAATCCAATAACATTGAACGTGTGCAGAAAATGGTCTGTTGAGTCATCCTGTCTTTTGCACGTGATCTTCTCACGCCAGCTCGCCATCGTGACTTTCTTCCAAAGTCCCGACGGTCACTGTCTGGAAGGCAGTTACGCAACTCACATCTTCTCCATGAACCAAAATGCAGGACCACAAGATATTACAATTCTAGTATTTCATCAATTGTTCGATTACTAAATAGGAATCCCGACCTCCTCATATAGGTCTAGCTATTTCATCCTAAACCTCCATTTAAATCTGCATGTAGTTTAATGAATATAGTTCTGATAAATATGATTTTAATAAATAGAACTTTGTTAAAATGAAGTTTTAAAAAAAATTATTTTGAAAAAAGTAATGTAATTTTTAGAGATACAATTTAGTTAAATTCAATTTTGATAAGTGTAATTTCTATATTTGCAATTCGTTTTTTATATCAGGTATTGTATGTTTAAAACAATGATAACTAATTACATTTTTCGAATCATCTTTTTATCATGTAATGTAGACGCCGTTGTTTGAACAGTTAGCCTTTATTATTTTCACTAATCAATGATCGGCCTTTAAACTCATTATTAAGAAACCATGTGAGACTAGATGTTTGCGATCTTACCCTTTAATCTCCTATTATTTCATTTATACAAAATTGATCCTATAAATTATTATAAAAATATTCTCATTGCCAATCTATGCAACTCAGAAGAACAACGTATATCAATCTGACTTTTTAAATTTAACTATGATAAATGCAAGTTGATTAATGCAATAATTATTAATGTTATTTCAATAAATGTAATTTAATAAATGTAATGTTATGTTTCCAAGTCGGGTTTTACATCACGTATTCATAAAGATCATACATAACAATATTTAATAATTGTAATTTATCGATTTATTTCTTATATATATATACTTCATGTAAATTTACATTTTAATCATTTAGTTTCAATTGATCAATAATAATTGTTCTCTTTATACATTATCAAGATGTCCTCCACCGACTCTCAAACTGTATATCTGATCTTATACCCTTTGATTTTCTATTATTTCATATCCAAGTATGCAAACCGAACTCAAAATTATTATTGTTTTCATTATTTATGATTTATTTTCTATGTATTGTTTATATCTGGATTCATTTAAAACTGTTAAAGTATAAAATGATATGTATCTGTCTGTGGTCCTGTGGAATTAATTTTACCTTGTAAATTCACTTGCATCAGCTTCCAGCTGTATTGTTGAATATTGGAATAAAACCTTATCAAATCAAATCAAATCAAATACAGTTGACAACTAGGCTTGGTGAGGCTAAATAGATATGAACCCAGATGTACACTGTTGACATAATGGTGGAATAATTATTTCTACCCCAATTTTTTGAATGATTTTCACAATAATTTATTCCTAATAGATAAAGATAATAGTATACATTCTCAGATTGTATTGAAAACCATTTGGGGAGCGTTCGTTTTGCGTGACTGCTAAGGCATGTGTGTGCTACTATGCTAATTAACTAGGGGACCTACGTCCTTAACTCATAACTGATAGAAATGGGGATTAATGCCTCATAAAAGGTCACTTATATAGCACATCGACACGGTTTTGATCCTGGGGGCTCACAGTAACGAGGCCATTGCTTAGCCAACTAATCATGACTCTACGCATCGGCCGCTAGGGTACGTCGACGCCCCCACAAAAACAAAAAAAAAGAAAAGAAAATGCAATAAATTTTCAATAATTCATTGTATATCCCCCAGTCCCCAACAGGAAAAATTCCTCTGTAGGGCCAGGCGTGCCCATATAGAAGATTTGTTTTATGTGTTAGTAGTATATAGCTTTATGCTTAAAGTCTATCGTCATCGTACCGGATCCCAATTTCTGTCCTAGATATGTAATGGCAAATGTAGATCAATGCCTTACCAAATGACATTAGTGCCGTTTCGGGGATCAAACCCACGATCTTCACATGTCAATTCAATTGCTTAAACCACTCGACTACGTCACCTTGAATGGCTAAAAGTCTGTCTGTGTGAAGTCGGTTCGGCGGTGTGACTGTGGTATTAGAGTGTATACACTGGTTAAAGGGATAGTTGAGTTTTGTTGCAGAGGGCGCTACACAAAATAATTTGTTGTGAATAATGAAAAACTGACTGTCAAATTTGAAACAACTTACAATTAATAACAAAATCATCTTTGTTTGATCAAAATTGGTTTAAAGACGGCTGCGATATCCATAAATATAACGACTTCTAATACTTGTGTACCACCAAAAATATTAAATAATTTGAACCAGCCGTTAAAAGCCGTTGAGAAACAAAATAGCGCCTTTTACGTTTTATTTCAGCAAATGCCAGTGTTGGCTTTTGTTGGCTTTTTCGTGTTGGTGATATTACGCACAATCAGCCGGCCCGTGTATTGTTATTATTGATTAATTAATTAATTAATTAACGGTTTTAAAGTGGAGCTGAATTGGTAGAATCGTATTGGCTAAATTTCACATATTTTGGGGTCTAAAATACCTTTTTAGCAATTTTAGGTTCTAAAAGGGCACTAGAAATATCATAGTAAGAATAAGAGCAATAACCATGCACTTTGAAGGCATTTGCGATCTAAACACAGAACTCAACTATCCCTTTAACCAGGCAGTGTGACTAAGGTATTAGAGTGTATTCACTGTGGGATGTGTTAGTTTGAAAAATTCTATCAGAATGGTGGTTGTTTCCTGTTTCCCTCTCTTTTTGTAAACGTGTTAATAAGATTTTACTTGACAAACTTCTATTAGAATAAAAAATTCACTTTAAAAAAAATGTTTCATGTTTCATGATTGAATAACTTAAAAGTTACACATTTCATATAACCTCCAATTTTCAGATATTTGTGGACATATCGTAATGAATCGTTGAAATAATAAAATTATTTTACGCATGATCTAATAAATGAAATATGTTGGTAATAGCCAGTCATCAAACGGAAATCGGCGAATGTTTGACGCCATAGCTCATGAATAAACATTGCCCTCCAAAAGTGTCCTTCAAATTGGACGAAACTCCCAAAAGGCATCCAATGCCAAACTTATGGATGTCAAGGGTCACAAGTTTAACAAAGAGATTCGATAATAGTATATCCTTCGAAGGAGGACTAGAGAGACGACTAAAATTGTGATCTTTGACATGCCATAGGTTTTGTACTTTTCACCAGTGGCCTGCAAAGCTCTGTTAGGTGGGGCGTGAGGTCGACCAATACTTAGAATAAGATATAGGCCTATCATAGAAAAAGAAAGTGTCTGATTTTACATGACACAGCTGCAATTCAGCTATAGACGTTTACACGTTAGTTTTTGTGTATCAAAGATATATAGCACTTAACACTTAAGTAATTGGAGTTACAATATTGACTTCATGACTTGTCCAACAAAACGTTTATAACAAAATATAAGATTAATGAGATATTACATATAGACTTATACCTACAATATTTTGAAGCCATCAGCCCAGATAATTATAAGTGTAAACAAACATGTTATTAAAATTCAATCAAGTCACAGGAAAACTTAAGATCAATCAAAGTCTGGGAACGGCTCAACCAATCAGAACCGCGCACTCTGACCGTGTTACCTTTGTGCCAGTTGTCATGGATCAAACGAATCATTCTCAACTCCTTTGAGAGAGAAAGGATGGGAAATGGGGGCGATGAGAATAAAGTGAGCAAAAAAGAACACATGATAATCTCCAACATTAATTCATCATGAAATAGGGAAGAACATAACAGGGAATATGAAAGAGTTTAAACATATGTGTGACTTCCAAAACACCTCGACACCATCGACGACAGAACTTGACAAACCATGAAGATACCGTGCAAACAATGCAGGTTCAATCTGCAATTTAATGTAAACATATAAACATTTGTTTAGTCATATGTCGCCATTATAACTCATTTATCATGAAATGATACCCTTTTAGATGTAATAAACTTCACCTCAGTGAAATACAATACTGCAACCCTAGTTCACTTGTTTGTATTAATTCCTATTGTTATTTGCTTAAACCAGGATAAATTGTCATACAATTTGATCTATAATACTCTGTGGGTCTTTCCACACTTGTTACAATTAAATAAACCATTAAATTCCTTCATCGTATATGAACTGAATAGATTGTGATTAATGTAGAAGTCTACAGGCCTATACCTTCATAATCACAACCTTGACATAACAAATCAAATCATGCACTGCACCAATGTTTCTAGTGATGCATGATAGTAATTTTGTCTCTCTTTCAATTGTAGAGAGCATGCACACTCATTATAATCCAGCTGAGCTACAAACTCCATAATATGCCTCTTATAATTTCATATCGTTCATCTTTACTTTGATAGCTAAACAATACCTAAACGTAAATGCCCACATACGCCTGATTCATTATCAAAGTACATTACACGTACTGACAAGTACATTACATAATACATGCACACAAACCCGTGCACTTTCACATACACGTGCACTTTCACATACACGTGTACTCTCGGCCTTTCATTTATAAGGCATCACAAATGTCACTTAAATCTCATAATTTATAAAGCCAATAGGCTAGAAAGATACATTAAGACTTTAACTTCAAGATAACATGCATAGTTTACTCACATCATTGGGCTTGTATCGAAATTAGACAAAAATCAATGGCATCTCCGGTTAACATAACATTTCCGAAACAGGGAAATTAGCAGCACGCCTAACAGCGCCTCCAAGCGGTCAAATCAGTACTAGCTTCTTATTTATCGCTAGTGACGTCACAGTCTTGCTTAAATCTAACCAAAAGGGCTTTCTACACACGACATCCCGGTCCCCTAAATGTGAAGCTTTACTGAACATTTAAACTAACATTCACTATGTACACTGTATTACATTCAGTTAACTCAACTTCATCAAAGAGGTGATAAGATCCCTTTAACTAAAAAACAGAAGTGTCAATTTGCAAGAAATTGTTCTAAGGTTTCTATACAAATTTACCTGAAATATCAATTAATCTATTATCCTAATTTTAAGAGTTATAGCATCACTACAAACCACATGCAGATACTTGTACATGTATATTGTTTTAAACCAATATTCAACCATTATGTAAATTTATGCAAATTATGCAGTTAAACCAAAACACATCATTGTTAATCTAGCTAAACCACTGCCAATAACAGTTGGTAGCAATACCTGAATTAAACATATCTTTTAACTCTTCCTATACCTGTGTGGTAAAAAACAAATATGCATTTGTTGGCATTAAACTCGGTCAACAACAAATCAGTTTGTTTACTTCCTTGTGACAAACTTGAATATACTTATTGGTAGATCACTCTTAACGTCTCCAATAATCATTTCATTTTGTTTCAATCAAACTTTGAACATACATGTAATTGTCTTTTATGACCTTATGCCATTCCTCTAGCAATAAATTGAGTCATCGTCCTTTAAACTCTCCTTCCATTTCGTATGTATTAACACATCTTTACCACTGGAAGCCTTTACAAACTCAACATACATGTACTGTATACCAAATTACTAATGCAATGTATTCCAAAATATGCTATATGAAAAAATAATGAAATCATCCTTGCTACAACCACTTAACATTCTCTGTGTTCGGTCTTAACAGACTGAAATTAGCAAACATGTAAACACCTATTTTTTCTTATTGCTAATTTTTTTTAACAATTTGGCATTCTGCTACACTATATTTCCAACAAAGGTATTCAAACTTTGACAAATAAGTCAACACTAGATATTAACTAGAATTCTCCAGAAAATTTATCTGCCAAACCTTGCATATATAATTTGTCCAGATTATAAACAAAGCTAACGTGCACCAGCATGCATTAACACCTATACTGTTCCTGTGGGATAAAGGCATTTGAATATTGAATTTTACAAGAAAAATGAAAATTTAGCATTGAAAGTGACATTTAAGACAATAAATAAGCTGAATATGACTGTCAGTCCATGAGTCTTTGAGTCCTTTCAATTTTCAGTCTTTAGAGTTAATCAGTTTCTTGTCAAACGTGGCTGGAATATCTCTCAGTTCCATTTGTCAGGAGTACTCCTGTCAGTTTGTTGGTAAGATAAGGACCCTGCAATACAGCATCATTGAGAGCTACTCCTTTACACTTAGCTGCACAGTCGAAGACTATGCGTACCTTTCCTGGTTTCTTGGGATTGATAACAGGATGGTGAGGAAGATACCATTTCTTTTGTCTGTCCTGAATCTGGACTTCAGTTGTGTTGTCTACACATACTTCTTCAGCATATCCTTTCTCCAAAAGGCTGGACATCCCTTCCTTGTATTTACCCATAAAGTAATCATCCTTGCTGAGTTTTCTCCTCAGTGACTCTAATCGCTGTTCTGCCATGTAGCGATTCTCAGGCAAATTTGGGTTCTCTTCTCTAAAGGGAATAGGCAGTTGATAGTGACCGTTGTCCATGCTAATCTCTTTCTTCCAGAACTCAGATACCTTCTTGTCATTTACTGACACTCCTCTATTATCATCATACAGGTATTCCATTCCTTCTAGCTTCCAGAATTTCTTCACCTGTTCCTCCAAACCAGCATTACTATCGTCTGAGATAAAGCTTGTTGAGACTTGGATATTATCTCGACCTTCTCTGTCTCCTAGGGGTCCATTCAATGTCCATCCTAGAACTGTCCTTACAGCATACATCTCTCCAGGTCTACCTGCTTTTACCTCAAGGGGCATCAACGCCTCAGGAACATCTTGACCTATCAGCAATGTGACCTGGCTTCTACTGACGACTGGAAGATTAAGACCTTGTAAATGTGGAGTCTTAGCTAGATCTGCCTCTGCTGCCATATTAGCAATGCTGATATTCAAACTGGGACGTGTGTGAACCTCCACGTCAAGCTCAGATTGTGCGGCAAGTCCCATGACTTTGAGGTTCACTGCTTCACATCTTATCCGGCTATTTCGTTTCTCCAAGGTAGAGACAGACAGGATCTTGCTTTTGCCTTTAACTTGCAGCTCATCCACCAAATCCTTCAGGCAAAATGAATTTGTCGATCCTGAATCGAGAAGTGCAAATGTCTCTACAACTGTATCGCCATCAGCTGCTCGTACCCTCACTGGTACTATAGGAAGAGCAACTCTATACCTTCCGGCCCCCGTGGCATTACTGCTTGCATGCGAAGAGGAAGCTTCACTGCCGGAAGCTCTGTCATCAGTCTGGGTCATAGAGTTGGATTGACCACTATCTCTCTCTGCTTTCTTGGAAGAAGAATTCCTATCTCCACGGCTAAACATCATCTGCTTCCCGGTATGCAGAAACTTTGTGTGCTTCTGTTTGCAACCCTTCACTGAACAGGTCCTGTTCAAGGTGCACTTAAAGGACATATGCCCTGGCTGTAGACAATTGAAGCAGAGTCTCTGTTCACGAGCAAAGTGGAAACGTTGCTCAGGATTCATATCCTTGAACCGCTGACAACCAAACAATCCATGATCAGCATGGCAGAGAGCACACTTCTGAGGACTGAGCGATGCTGAGAAGTTTCCTTTGGAAGAGTGGTATCGGTTTGGAATCGAAACCTTATCCTTGTCTTTGGCCTTGAAACTGCGTCCTTCTTTCCATCCTCCCTGAACTAGAGCTCCGTAGACGGGATCATTGATCTCTTCAGCAGCATCGTTCACAAATCGAACAACATCAAAGATTACAGGTGACCTTCCGGTATCACGGATTCTCTTCACTTGGCCAAGCCACCGACTCCTCAACTGGTAGGGCAATCTTTCGATCAGCTTCACTAATTCTCTCTGGGTACTCAATTCCTGGAGCACACCCATTGCCTTGAGGGTCTCTGTACAGGTCTGCAGCTCATCGGCAAAATCCCGCAGCTGCTTGCAGTTGTTTAGTACAGCTGGGCCGTCCGTAACTTTCCTCAACCAGGCTTCTTCAATCTTGTGAGTGTCACCAAACCTCTCAGCAAGGAGCCCCCTAGCTCTTAGGTACCCTTGATCCGGTGACATCATCATGCAGCATTGGATGAGTTTCTTTGCTGCTCCTTCACAACAGTGAAACAGTCTCATGAGTTTGCCACTACTGGACAATGACGTGTCCCCAATCATACAGTCGTATGATTGTACAAACTCATAATATTTTAATGGGTCACCATCAAATTTCATTAGTTCGGCACTTGGCAAATTTATGGATTCAAGAAGCTGCTGTTGTTGCATTTGGCCCTGCCTCAAATGACCTAAGATCTCGTAGTCCAAATGATCTCTGGATTCTCTGTTTGACTCATCACTGACCTTTGGCGTTGACTCAGGTGCTCTTGATACCTCAACGTCAATGTTCTGCTTCTGAGGTGTATCCGTTGCAGGATATGGCAATGTGCTGTCATCATTGACAGACTGAGGCTTGAAGGTAACCTCATCTCCTTCACTAGCCTTGAAAAGATCATCTTCATACAGGCGATAGACAAGCTCCTCTGCTTCCATTACTCTGAGCTTTGTCTTCAGCTCCAACTCAGCTTTCCTCTGCTTGAGCCTCAACTCTTCAAGCTCTAACTCCTGGTGCTGTCTAAGAGCCTCCACCTCAGCTTTGAGGAACGCCTTCTTTGCTAGTGTCTTTACTCTGGCACTGGAACTAACAGCAGTACTTCTGCCACTCTGGCTAACCGAGTCCTCCGGTTGTACTTCACTCATGATGACTGCTTGGTGACTGCTTGGTGACTGCTTGACGTTCTCACTTATCCAAGCTGATATTGAACTTGATGTGACTTCCAAAACACCTCGACACCATCGACGACAGAACTTGACAAACCATGAAGATACCGTGCAAACAATGCAGGTTCAATCTGCAATTTAATGTAAACATATAAACATTTGTTTAGTCATATGTCGCCATTATAACTCATTTATCATGAAATGATACCCTTTTAGATGTAATAAACTTCACCTCAGTGAAATACAATACTGCAACCCTAGTTCACTTGTTTGTATTAATTCCTATTGTTATTTGCTTAAACCAAGATAAATTGTCATACAATTTGATCTATAATACTCTGTGGGTCTTTCCACACTTGTAACAATTAAATAAACCATTAAATTCCTTCATCGTATATGAACTGAATAGATTGTGATTAATGTAGAAGTCTACAGGCCTATACCTTCATAATCACAACCTTGACATAACAAATCAAATCATGCACTGCACCAATGTTTCTAGTGCTGCATGATAGTAATTTTGTCTCTCTTTTAATTGTAGAGAGCATGCACACTCATTATAATCCAGCTGAGCTACAAACTCCATAATATGCCTCTTATAATTTCATATCGTTCATCTTTACTTTGATAGCTAAACAATACCTAAACGTAAATGCCCACATACGCCTGATCAAAGTACATTACATAATACATGCACACAAACCCGTGCACTTTCACATACACGTGCACTTTCACATACACTTGTACTCTCGGCCTTTCATTTATAAGGCATCACAAATGTCACTTAAATCTCATAATTTATAAAGCCAATAGGCTAGAAAGATACATTAAGACTTTAACTTCAAGATAACATGCATAGTTTACTCACATCATTGGGCTTGTATCGAAATTAGACAAAAATCAATGGCATCTCCGGTTAACATAACATTTCCGAAACAGGGAAATTAGCAGCACGCCTAACAGCGCCTCCAAGCGGCCAAATCAGTACTAGCTTCTTATTTATCGCTAGTGACGTCACAGTCTTGCTTAAATCTAACCAAAAGGGCTTTCTACACACGACATCATGTACAAGAGAAGAAAAAGGGGGAGGGCTGCAGCGAGCGGAAGCAATTTAAAACAAATCGATTTCAACATTATTCCACAATTGCAAATCACAACCATATTTTAAAATACATACACACAATACACCGAAAGATTAGAAATGCGTTATAATTCTAATTCTAATAATAATAATATGGATATTTATATAGCGCCGGTATCCGCCAGGCTCTGACGCTCATGGCGCTGTACATATTACAATCACAAACATATCACTTTCTTAACTAAAGTAAAGGTATTCTAAAAAGGTAAACTAAAAAGGTTCACGAAAAAAGTATGCTTCTTTAAGAATATGAAAGAAAAAGGGAAAGTAGGAAGTCAAACATTTATGATTTTATCGCGTATTTAAGAAATGTTTAAATTAAATAAGAAGGTAAACACTAACTAATTATGTTTGTGAATACAAGTACTGGCCTTTGAACGAAAACACCAAAGTGGGAGGTTGACCCAGATTGTACGTCACAGATAGTTACTAATATCTCAAATATTTACCTAAACGAAACTCACTTCATTGTGACGAGATGATTGTAGTTCTATTTGCATTCTATTTTATTTCCTCTTTCTTCTTGTTACCGAAACTCAATTAGCAAACTTGTTTCGTTCGGGCTTAATACCTTAGTCATACCAATGAGACCGGCACCAGACCGAAAATAGACCAAACAGAAAAAAAATGGATTCATCGAATTCATTCACGCACAATGTGCACCATCTCTACTCTCTGTATTCCTACGTTATGGTCAACGGTCAGTTGTACATACTATGTCGTCACTGTATTTGCGGTAAATTTGACCCCTCTTGACCTGTAATTTGGAGAGGTGCAGAAAATAAGGCTTTAATTCACTTTTGTGCAATGTTGAAACGGAAAATATTTGAATTCCTTTAGATTTGTGTTCTATGTTCATTCAGCATTCCATTGATAGCAAGATTTATTTTCATCGTATAGGGTCTTTATGCACCTGTGTACGGACGGTCAAAGGGACTTCCCCTTTTCCATAAAATCACTTTATAAAAGCAGTCCAGTTCTAACACTTGCTCGAAGATCACGTGAATGTATCAATAGCAAGAGCAATAGACAAGGCAGATAAGTAATGCCATGGAATAGCATGAAATGCATTCGACTGCTGTTATCAAATTGAGCCCCCACAAGGGCATAAAATATTTATTTAGCGTGTATTGTAAATAAGTATTTAACATAACAATAGCAATAGACGACGTATCAAAACAGAAAAATAATACCAAGAAAGCAGGAAAAGCCTTCGACTGCTGTATTGTGACTATTAAAGTCGTGCTGAACGAACATAGTACATGGACATCGTACATCATTTCGATATGATATGATCATTCCATCCGGGATACTTATATGAGAGGAATAAACACGGAAGAAACTCAGTCAGACTTGTTTACTGGTTAAGGACTGTTCATGATAGCCAGGAATACGAGTGGACACAATAGTTGTATACGTCATAATAAGTGATTTCAGCCATTTACTCCTCTTGTTACTGCTTTCCCGACATATCGCCAGAATGAAGTCTTCGTCATTTCAATACATATTTGTCGTAATTCACGTAGTCACCTCGTCTCACTATATATGTAAGTATATATACTAAAGGCAGTCATTCAATTAAGGGAAGTCATCGGGAAATGATCATGAGTTCTTCTAAATAGAGCCATATAATATACATGTGTAGTTAACGTTTATATCATACTTGTGTCAGTGAGCTTACAACGTGTTCTAAAAGTAAGGAGATTCGTGTATTTAGTTTCTGCAGTCTCATGTTTCTTGGCTTATCTTAATCATATGGATTTCATTCTGTTTTTAAATAAAAGGTGTATTTGATAAAGTGACATAGGTTTGGGGATACGTGACCCCCTCCAACTCCTTCACTGACGAAAAGAAGAGAGAGGGGAGGGGAGAGAGAGAGAGATGCAGAGAGAGAGAGAGATAGAAAGAGAGAGAGAGAGAGAGAGAGAGAGAGAGAGAAAGATGGGATAGAAAGATGAGGAAATGAAATTAAATGAAAGTAGTATGATCCCCCTCCCCCTTCTCACACCGCCATACCCGATGTCTTTGTTAATTCGTATTCCATCTATACTACCTCGTGAGACACCGATAAATAATATTAGTATTCAAACATTCATGGTGTGTACTGAAGTCGTAAACTCTATTTGCAATATGCCCAAACACAATGCTATGTCAATTGCTCAATATACGCACGGCAATACTTTATTTCAGTAGTGGTAAAGTTTGGTTTTACCTTTCAAAACGACAGCGGAATATGATTTTCAGAGAATAGTGTCATATTTGTTTAGCCTGAGATTCATATGAGTGAGCATAAACAATAATCTCCAACTGAATAAATATATAAGTAATGATGTTAGTAATGTAAATCGTTTGCAGTCAGTAGCTTTATGTTTATGGGTTTCATTCTGATTTTATAGAGTATGAATATGTTAAAATGTAACAAAATTCGTTTATTGAAGATTTAAAAAACATTAATGATGATGATAATATTATTAATAATAATAATGATGATAATGATAACAATAATGATACAAAATAAAACTAATAACCCTGCTTATAATAACAATAATAATAACACTAATCATTATAATTGTAATACAAATAATAACAATATTTGTAATGATGATAATGATAACAATAATAACAACTTATTTATTGGTGTATGTAGCGCTAAATAAAACGATGTATCTATGCGTACTACAAATATATTACAGACTAACGCAATTAAATGATATTTTGTTTAGTATCTCTTTCACACAAATCTGGTTTATATATCATTTGACTGAATCATCGAGACTGGACAGAGTTTAAATGAGTATTACAAGTTGAATTGAATCGAAATAACTTTGGAACCAGATATTTTACGTTTCTGGATCTAAGAACATGGGTGGATCGTTTTAGATACGCAGAGAGGCTTTAAGGACTATTAAGTGTACTGGTGAATATATTTACAGCTACACTCAAAAAAAAAAAGTGCTAAATTTAGCACTTAAAAATTCAATTTTAGCACTTTTTAGGAGCTCGCATAGTGACTGCACTCGAAGTGCTGAGTTAGCACTTGCACCCGGGCTACTTTGCTAGCACCCAAAGGAGCTGACTGTTGTGCTAAATTTAGCACTTAAAGATTCAATTTTAGCACTTTTTAGGAGCTCGCATAGTGACTGCACTCGAAGTGCTGAGTTAGCACTTGCACCCGGGCTACTTTGCTAGCACCCAAAGGAGCTGACTGTTGTGCTAAATTTAGCACTTAAAGATTCAATTTTAGCACTTTTTAGGAGCTCGCATAGTGACTGCACTCGAAGTGCTGAGTTAGCACTTGCACCCGGGCTACTTTGCTAGCACCCAAAGGAGCTGACTGTTGTGCACTTAAAGTGCCAAGTTTTGCTCTCTTTTGGGTGCTAGCAGAATAGCCCTTGTGCAAGTGCTAACTCATGCGTTGTTTGACATGCCCCATCTACATTTGGTATGTGGTCAAGGTGGATGTCCTTCGTCATTTACCACTTTCAACTCTTACAGGAAACATTTATTAAACCAACACCCACAAGAAGAACCTGAACCTGAAGTTGTACAGGGTATGGAGGGTCTAGTTGATGCTGATTTGGGTGTTGCTGTTGGTGAAGTGCATAATCCTGCAGCAGATGATGCATTTGATGATGATGATGATAGGATAGGCCTACTACAAGAACAAGATGGAGCAATGCATAATGACAGTACAAGACACTATGAATATGACAGACAATGAAAGCGGAAAAAATATACAGTTCCTTAGGTAGACAAAGGAACATCCCTTCACTGCTATTATGTAAAAATGTGTAGAACAGGTGTCACATGCATATTCACCTGTTCTACACAGTTTACATAATAGCAGTCAAGGGATGTTCCTTTGTCTACCTGAGGAACTGTATATTTTGTCCGCTTTCATTGTCTGTCATGTTCATAGTGAGACCAGCTGCATTTTTCATTGGTTCTCTTTTATCAAACACCAACATGACCCATGCTATGACAAACAGAGTGTTATCTGCTGCAACTGCTTTGAATACTGATGTTGTTGACAGTTTAAGGAGCAAAGTTATTCAGACTTTTGAGGCCTTGGGTATTGACCTGGAGAATGAAGAATGTAAGAATCTCTTAGCTGAATTTGATTCAAAAACAAATATTCACAAGGTAACAGCTATTATACTAACCGACCAATCAGATCAGGTTATGCAGTCAGCACTCGATGTTAAGTGCTGCATATTGTTATAGCACTCGTTTTCTGCACTCAAATATTCAGCACGTTTCGGTTTCCTTGTTAAAGTTAACCCGTCAAGTGCTGATTTTGGCACTTCAAGTGCAGAATCTCACTCAGCACCCAACATTTAGCACCTCAGTTTTTTGCGTGTACTTAAAGATACCATGTCCATTTTGCAGCTAACATCAAATTATGCAGAACTTTGCAGGAATTATGAATATGTCATGTACAGGGGGTATGTACTATCTGTGAAATTTGAATATTAGCAGTGTCCTAGTATTCAAATTATCCAGGTTTACCCATTTACTTGCTAGACTTCACTGGTCAGACACTATTGAGTGACTGACTGACATGTTTTTTTCTTTGGTAGTCATACAATGATCTCTAACGGGTTCCTTAGCATTTTGTCTACATCAATAAACTATTACTTGTATTTGTAATGGCCAAAATTAAATGATTAAATCTTTGTGCAGCACAAAAAGTACGACCATTTCATTAAAGAGTCTGAAAACCAGACTATTACTTAGGTGATTGCAATCACTTAAGTCGGTTCGACAGCTAATGGTCGTTATTTTTCCACTAAAAGCCATTTTCAAGCCCTTTCGTTTAAAGGGAAGTTCTAAATTAGTATTGTCTTTCAAATGCCGTTGGAATTTAACCTTTTCATTGTTTGGCCTGCAAATGGGACATAGTACCTTTAAGGAATGCATAATAGAGCGAAACAGCCTACATGCAATCATATTTATCATAACATTCACAAAACTGTATTATCATTAAAAAATGCAGAAACGGAAAAAGAAAAAGTCTGTCAAGGTTTTATGACCGGACTATGCATGCACTTTTATTTGTTATTTTTCCCTGTTTACAACCTGAATATTTGGATTGTTTGTTTTGCGGTTTCTCTCACGTCCTTTAAATAAGGATGTGTTTGGTTTCGATTACTTGTTCAATGAATGAGTTTAATTGTTTGACCACACTTTCCTTGTATTTGTTCTAACCTAGTTTTCATGTATTAAATCGACTGTTGACCTTGATAATTAATATGACGAAATCAACGTTTTTTTTTAAGAGCAATTATCATGCTATTGTAAACTGGACTGAAGAAAAAGAGTAAAGGAGTGTTTTGTGTTGAAAATAGTTAACAGTGTAGTCTGTCTGAGTGAAGGTACACATTGAGGTAGGAGTCATCACTTTCTGCGGGGCACTGGTTTTTGTTCTGATTGAGGTTGTTGTTTTGTGTTTGTGTATTGAATATCATACCTATAAAAACTGATATATACTAGAAAGATGAAGAGAAATCAACGTATACCATGATAAAGATAATTTGATATGTGGCGTAGTTAAAGATGTCGTTTCCGCACCCCCCCCCCCCCCCCATTACCTGGCACACAAGGACCTTAAGTACACAGAGGAAGGGGTATGATAATAATGTAGAGGTGTTGTGGTCTAGTGGATAAGTCACCGGACTGTAGATCACAAGATACGGGCTTCAAATCCCAGCTTTGCACTACCGTCGTTTGACCAGACTTACTTAAAATTTGCCACTCTCCATCCAGGTCAGGTGTCAATTGATATATCGTACATGACATTAAGGGGAACCTTGTTCCCCCTAAATTGATCCTCGTTCCCCTTAAAAAAAAGGCATCAGGAAAGTGAAAACCTTCGTGGTTTTCTAAGGGTGTTTTTTTTTTACAGCAATTACTGAAACAAAATCAACCTAAGTCAATTTCTATCAGCACGATTGGGTATTGAAATAAGCCAGTTTCTAGCTGAAGTCTGAGCATGCGCAGATAAAGATCATTGCATACCAAATTGTTATATTGACGTAGATAAAATATTAGATACGTGCTCATGAAAGTTATGTAATCATTATTCATTTATGCACAAGCAGCGCACTCCATGATACCATGGACCTATTGCGAATGGACATTCATCGTTTTCTTTACGAATGCATTGTGATTGTCTCCGTCAATGTCGTCTCAATAACATTTACATGTTTCTTCAATTTGATCTCATGAGGGTCACCGCCAATAAGCCGGGGCAGAATCAAGATAATGATTTAAAAAATGTTAAGATACATGCGCAGAAGATAATAAATCGCCTTAAATCATGGGTAATCGATGTGCAGTTCTGGTTAATAATTAGAAACTGTTGTTCCGTGTACTGTGTTCTATTTTTGAAAAACATGTTGATATTACCAAGTAGGTTATATTTGGATTTTTGTGATTTAAAATCCCTTTTCCCCAATTTCCTCATAATATTCCAGAATAACAATACACAGGGCTTATAAAAATCATGGCCTTCTAATTGTTTTAGAAGGTCATTGGTGCTTGCAAAAGTGTGCGAATCAGTAATAATAAATTTCATATCACCAAAATCGTCTGCTTTTCAACTTTGCTGCTCCCCATTGGTAATGTTTTTGTTTAAGACACACTACAGAGCACACCATCCAAAAAAAACCCAAGAGAGGGAAACTGCTCCTTTGTCAATGACCGAAAATGATTACGTAGTCGTTATTGTTAAAACAACTGAATGTTCTCATCAATATGCACATAATCAGACGACGGTGACTCTCATTGGATCAAAGAAAGAATCACGTCGAATGTCCATCCGTAATAGGTCCATGATGATACACAGGCGGAAGTATTCTTGGAAAAGGGGAAACGAAGGCTAGTAGCATTTCCATTGCTGTAGGAGTGATTATTTCAAAATGTACAAAGTGGGACCTCTTTATGTTTTGAAGATCTGTGGATTTTCGGTGTCATATGGGACATGTAAACCTTGAACTGGTATATTACCCTAGAGTTGATTTCTCGAAAGTAGTTGCGATCATATTCCTATCATATATATCCTTTCCACAGGTTTGATATCAGCTACCTGTGCCATGCCAGACCCCATACCTAACACCATAACAACCTTGCCGAACCAAACGCTGGAAACAGGGTATTATATCACATGGGAATGCAGCGATGGATACATGATGGATGGCCTGACAAACACTGTTGTATGGGTGTGCTTAGAGGACGGGTCCTGGCTGGGTCATATACCCATATGCAAAGGTAATAGGTTTAAATTTGAACTAATTGTATTTAAAGGGTTATTTTGTACCTCAGGGTCAAATGAAAGTACTGTAATATACTGTAAGAACATGTTAAAATAATTTTTTTAGGGGAATTTTCCAGGCAGTCGGGAACCCAGGATTCTCTGTGAATGTGTTATCCCAGTGCAAAAACATGGAACTGTTTTTTTTCTACAGGATTCCCACACGAACAAAAAACCCACGATTTGACAGTTACCTTTTAAAGGGATAGTTCAGTTCTGTTTTCAGACCGCAATTGCCTTCAAAGTGCATGGATATTGCTCTTATTCTTATCTTTGACATTTCTAGTGCCCATTCAGGACCTAAAATTGCTATGATACCCCAAAATGTGTGAAATTTAGCCAATACGAACATTCCGATTCAGCTCCACTTTCCCAAAAATACGATGACCGTTAATTAATTTATTTATTAATAATAACAATACATGGGCTGACTGGTTGTTCGTAATATAACTAACACGAAAAAGCCAACAAAAAGCCAACATCGGCATTGGCTAGAATGCAACGTAAATTGCGCTATTTTGTTTTTTTAACAGCTGGTTTAAATCATCGAATATTTAGGGTGGTACACAAATATTATAAATCGTTATATTTGTGGATAATTCAGCCGTCTCTGAACCGATTTTGATCAAACAAAATCAATTTTGTCATTTAAATTGTGTGTTCTTTAAAATTTGACACTCAGTTTTGTATTATCTCACAACAAAATTATATTGTATAGCGCCCTTTGTAACAGAACTCAACTATTCCTTAAAGGGTTACATATACTATCGGAAGCCGGATATTTGAAAATTAGGTTTCAATGATAAAACGAGAATATATCTAGCAATCCTTTGTGAAGACGCCAACTGATGAAGAAAACAAAAAACAACTAGAAAAGTACAGAAGTAGAGCCATGATTAACCTTCGTAAAGTTGGCATTATTAAATTTGTGAAGATATGATAATTATAATAATAATAATAATAATAATAATAATAATAATAATAATAATAATAATAATAATAATAATAATAATAATAATAATAATAATAATAATAATAATAATAATAATAGCTATATAATAGCTTATAAAGCGCTTTTCAGGACCGAAGGCCCTCTCAAAACGCTTTACAAATATATATTACTACCGGTCATCGGATGCAGGCTTATCCGCAGACAGTGTATGCACATTCTCCACTCCCTGGTGACCATTCCAGCCAGGCGTCATTTTTACAAGCGCACACTTGCTAATCTAAGCACATCAGCTTTCGCATCCTACCGGGTACCCATTCAACACCTGGGTGGAGAGTGGCAAATGTAGATCAATGTCTTGCCAAAGGACATTTGTGCCGCGGTGGGACTTAAACTGCGACCCTTGTGATCCACAGTCTGGTGACAAATCCAATCGTCCACGACACCTTGGTTCATGATTACATCTATCAAAAATCTCATTTAGTTCGATAGATTATTATTGTTCCCCTTTTCCCTTAACCAAACAGAAGTCTAGGAAGAACGGAGCTATTATTAGTAAATAGAGCAATTTAGCTGTGAACTTTTAAAATAATTTACTTGATTTAATGTTCACATATTAAATGTAGGCTGTTGGACGCATATATTTGTTTGGTAATACGATTAAAAAAACAAAACCAATCAAATAAATAAGATAATTATGCAATCTTTCTCCCGACCATGTAGATGTTGAATGCCCATCGCCTCCCATAGCTGCTTATTCAGAGCTCGATCCTCCTTTGCCTGAAGCTCCCGTGGTAAACCAGACGATATCATATAGATGCAGCAGCAGTGAATACACTCTGCTTGGAAGTTACTTGAATAGATGTCTACGAGATGGCATATGGGAGAATGATCCACCAGTTTGTCAAAGTAAGTAATTCATCTTTGCGAACGAAAGTTCGTATATTTACACATCCAGAAGATTATTCTTTAAAAACAATGCTCGAGGACAATAAGCCCTTGTCAATCACCATCAGCCAATAACCAGCGGGACAATTACCCACCAAGAACCAGCAACCCCCGGAAAAATACCTCCCGGAAAATTACCCCTTTGGACAATTCCCCCTCCCCCCCCAGGAAAATTACCCCCCCCCCCCCCTGGAAATTACCCCCTTGGGTAATCACCTCTCACCAACTGTTTTATTTAAACCAGCTTATCATCAGGGTAGACTCCCCCTTTAATGAAGGGGTGGGGGATATGTATATTTTTTTAATCTCGATGACATTTAGTATTGCAAAAAGCATTATTTATTGGCATTCCATGCTCACCGTCTGCCATGAGTTGGATTTGGGATTGGGTCAAATTGTCCAGGTCATCTCGTGGGGAGGGGATGATAATCATAAAACATAATATATATATATATATATATATATATATATATATATATATATGTGTGTGTGTGTGTGTGTGTATATATATTGTCTTAATATCATGTTGTATTTTTGCTCTCTTTCCTTTTCATTTAAAGAGACAAAAGACAAAAGACAGAAAAAAAGAATAATTGTAAAAAGTATTACAAGTAACATAATTTATTTGGATCCCTGTATAATATTCCAGAAGATACAAGCAGTAGTAGTTTAATGTTTGTCATTCCTGGTTATTGCCACCTTTAATCTTAACTCAATTATATATGTTAAACTATAATATTGACATTTGTTAACCAATGTTATAAACAAAAATTGAAAATGATCCTAATTGTTTGGATTTAAATCAATAAAATTTGAATTGAATTGAATCAAATTAAATTGGTTATTCCCTTCTTTTTTTGGTGTGTGTGTGTGTGGGGGGGGGGGGGGTCATATTAATCTAGGTGGTAGTTTTGGGGGTAAATTCTCCGGGGTGATTTTCCGGGGGGGTTACGCTCCTTGGGGGGTAGTTTTCCGGGGGAATTTTCTGGGGGGGGGGGTCATTGTCCTGATACGTAAAAATATGAATTATAAAACACTATTTGTGTTATTTGATTGATGTTTTTCGTCAATCGGTGGTGCAGTCACTTCATTTTAAAATGTATTTTATATTAAGGTTCAATTTCTTTTTCGCAGGGACCTGCAGCACATTCAACACCAAACGATATTCCAATCTCACTTGCTACCGGAGACGAGGCTCTGAAGAATGGGATGGCTCATTCGATCTTTGCATAGATCAGGGGGAGATACTTGCTACAGTGAAAGATGCTCAGACGCAGGAATTTCTAGTCGATTTTCTTAGAACATTTAATGGTGGAGATAACATCTGGATCGGAGCAAGGGAAGGTCGAGACTGGAAGTGGAGAAAAAGTAAGCAACAAAAAATGTACATATAATGTGTGCTGGCATGCGTGAATCATATGACCGGGGTAATATAGGATTTTCCGGCCATTTGAACACTTTTTTCAATCAAAATAAAATGTTGTGCGCTTCAATTCCATCCAAGGAATCTGGGATCGTGCAAATGTCAAAGTTAATTTAGTTATTTGTAATTCATATAAGTCAATGGTAACTAAATTTTAACACTTGTCCATCAATTTTGTCAGATTTCATGATCCGTATTCATTTCATCTGGCAGTCTCCTGCAGAAAGTATAAATAAAATTCGTCTTTGCACAATCGAGTTCGAGAGAAAATCATTCATTCGTCACATAGACCTCATATAGAACGAGTAACGAATTCGAATGATGCTTGACGAAATTGATTCATGCAAATGTATCTTGATAGCCGAGGATGATGACCTTGACGAAATTGGATGGAAAAGGATGAAGTTGATTTGACATTTTTTTTAATGAATGACCAAAGACAAGATATATCATTTTCGTAATGTAATCAGATTCAATGCATAAATCTTTATTAAGTGTCTCATTACAAATTATTTCATTCCCCTGTTATGAATAATTGTATTTCGACAGTCGGGTTCGGAGGCAAGGCACACAAGATTTTTTTTCTCAATGGGCTTTACAGATATACAGTGCGTCCCAGAAAAAAACGAAACCGAGAAGTATCGATCTTTTATCATAACTTATTCACGTTTATAATTAATAAATGACATATATTTGAAAAGCTTAGATCCTCCTCTTTCATTTGATGCAACTCATATAATGCATATTTCACGCAGGAGTGATTAAAATGATTTTGAAGAGAGGAAACCAAAAAGTCATTTGGCGGACGGTATTAGAATTTCAAGGAGTAACAGAGTTGACAAAAGACTCGAATGGGATAACAGTCATTTCATCTCCATAATGAAACACTGAAATACACGCCGAATCCGAGAAACCATCGAAATTCACCGCCACAACACCGTGCCCCAAGACTCAGGATTATACATCAACAACATCTGGAAACCCCTCATCAGCAAGTACCCGGTCACTCCTCCTCCACCACCACCTCCACCACCGCCTTCACCACCCCAGCAGACACCCGTACATCAACCACCGCCATCTGCCGAACCCTCAAAACAGCCGCCATTCTCACAGCTACAATGCACAGAAGACGACAGCAGACTACAACGCCGCCTACGTCGGGGACACACACAGCGTCTCGCCGACAGCACACCCCACTCATGGATTCGAAACTCTCCGACGTCCGCAACCCGGAGACTCCAGCCCAGACGGACAGCAAGACGAACCAGCAGACCCTCTATGTCCACTCCCCGATGACTCAAGCCCGCACGGTCATGTATTTTTCCCGTACGTCCGCACCCCGGTGACTTAATCTGACGCACGCCAGCTATTTTCCACTCCTGACGACGGAAAGTCAACCTGTTCGAAACGTCGAGCCACTCCCGTCCTTCATTCTCTCCAAGCGCTATAGTTCTCCTTAGAACTGTAAGCTAAGAAAGATAAGCAAAAATCTTTTTCAAGACTATACCAACAGTCCTTTTCAGGTCTACAAACCCTCAAGAAAGATTACCGAGAGTCCTTTTCAGGACTCCTCAATCCTCCCTCTCTCTCACATGGTGCACCCGCAAGCCTACTGTAAATTTAGTTTTGGAGGTTATTTTTAAAGTGTGTACTTTTTTGTATACTCACCGAAGTCTTTAAGGGCTTTGACATTATCGCATTAAACATGTTAACTTCTTGTTAAGTTCTTAACACGGAAGGTAAGACGGTGTAAATTGCTAGATCCACACACTTATAGGACTTTTGAATACCCCTTTTTTGTTTTGTTTTTTGTTTTATAGATGACAAATACATTGAACGTTTCTTTTGGCAAAACCCATTTCCGGATTCAAATCTCAGAGATTGCATTGAATTGTCATACCAGTCTGGCTCGACGAAGTATTCTTGGAATCCTAGATCGCTCCTAGAAGAAAATGCCTTACTCTGTCAGTATGGTAAGTATCTCTAAGTTGGTCATGAGTTCATTATAAATTAGCTTTGAAAACTTATAAAATACCAGCAAGTGGGGGACTGACTATTTCATTATCATCTTTTTCATTTGTTTATATATATTAATCTTTTCTGTTGCTAGAAAAGTTAGATTTCGCAAGCCATGACCTATTGAGATGTCATTACTACAGAAGCTGGACTAACTACACGACTTTTACAGAGTGAGACGAGCTTCCACTTTTCACCGGTACCTTCTCGTCACCAAATAATAGCAACCGGGGAGTAGTTCTTTTATCTAGCGGTTAAATGACAGTAATGTACATGCATATATAAACTAATATTTTTATACGGTGCCTATCAAAAAAAAGGTGTACCAAACGTTGATAGCTCTTTATTAAAAATTCATAACCTATATGACTTTGACATCTGTTTCATGATGAAAATCAAGTTGTTTCCTGCCAAGTGATACCAAATTCATAATACTTCGGTGCCACGGGTCTTTGATATGTGTAGTCAAAATCGCCTTGTACCAAGTTTTGGCTGATGGAACGAATGTGGGTCAGGCCATATGCATGTGCTTCTTTGGTTTTAAATTCTTTGAAAAGTGAAATTATGACTCATGCTTCATCTATGCATTGTTTGAAATGATGCAATGTATCTAACCTTCCACAGAAAATTGTTTCAATGCATAGGATAATCTTCTTTTGTTTAAATAGCCTAATAACCTCTTGTCTCATGATATCTATGTTCACTTGTTCTTTGCGCCATGTCACACGTGTTAGGAGCATAAGGTGTTTATCTCGAATAGCAAATGTTGAGGCCATTCGGATGTTCAGCCCAGCCACTAGCTGATTTATTCTTCCCCAAGCTTCCGTTGGTCATCCGTACTGCTATAGAATGTACCAATTCAACAAATCTTAAAGTCCTCAATAGTGAATTCGGGTACGGAGGAATATGAATTATTGTGTTTTTGTGTATTCTCTCGAACTTCAAGTATAAGTCACTAATTTCTCCTTTTTGTCCCACACATCGCTTTGTATTTCTAGATCAGTCTTGCCAGAGTGTTGGACTCAGCCAATCCGACATGGTATTAGAATACATGGACACCTGTTTCCAATTCCTGGATGTTTCGAGGAACTGTGATGACGGGGCCGAAGAATGTAATGGGAGAGGAGGATTTCTGGCTGAAATACTCGATGAGAGCACTAATGCTTTATTGCTGGACCGAGCACTGTATCTGCGAGACCTAGGCGTAAACACGGCATGGTGGATTGGTGGTTATGACGAAAACTCCGGACGGTCCTGGTATTGGTCTGATAGTACGTGATTCCTCAAAAAGTATAGAAACAGTAAAATGTAGCCTTTATCTGTTTATTGGAAGAAAAACACATTTATTTTTTCAACAAAATCTATACCATTTGCAACTATTTGTATTCAATGTCAATACAATAAAACATCCTTAATTTGTTCCTATTTTAACACAAGTTTTAGAATGAGATTAGAGCTATGATACGTTTTGAAATCCGCCTCGACTTTATCGGTAATTCGTTAATATCAGTAATATATAAGTAATTTGTTGCAGTCTAAAAAATAATACAAATAAATTGTTGAGTAAAAAGCAAATAGTTTTGTCAAATGAGATCCTCGACCACTTGTATTATATGAATGTGGTAATTAGCTGCGAAGTAATAACATGGAACTTAATTTAAACATGGTCCATAAGTATGTTCTATAATAACCTTGATTAGGACTAGGAGGTAATGGAGTCTTTTGTGATATATACAATGACATATACAATATTAGGGGTCAACAAGTTTAGATCTTTTCCCTGCATTTGCTAATTTTTGATTTAATGAATTAAGAAATAAAATCTTGGAAGCAATGAAAAGATAAAAATAAATGAAAGATACATTTAACAATAATTTGTGTAATAATACATAATTTTAATCTACACATCAAGCGGAACCGAAGCAATGTAAATAATTACGATGAATTTACACACTCTATATCGGGCATATATTGTATGCTATATATGCAAAACATTAAAATCAAACAAGAGTAATGGCTTGAATTGAGTTTTCCAAATACAGATTAGCATGGACCATTGAAATTGAAGCTAGTATTTTCGTATTAAGGCTTTCTAATGGAAGTGGAAATTAGATCAACTTCCTAACCCATAGTAGGACATCATATTCATCATACCATTCATCTCTTTCTTCAGAAACCCGATTGAACTATGAGGAATGGAACGATGACCAACCTAATAATGTTGACCAAGACCAAGACTGTGTAGAAATGAGAAGCGGATTTCAGTACCGATGGAATGACCAATCTTGTTCAGACCAAATTCGGACTCTATGTCAAATTGGTGAGAACATGTGAAATATATTTTTTGAATATATTTTGGGGGTCATGGGCTTGTACAAAAATGACTATGTTAGATGGTTTCTTTGAACAGATGAGACGAATTATAGCTGAGGTGATTTGACAATATATGAGCAATCAAAATATTGTATATTGTTTAAAAATTATGATAAATCATGTATATTTGTTACGGTTTTCTTCACGTGATTAAGGAATGGATTGAATAAATGGATGAATTAATTATCAGAATGGATGTTTCAGTGATAAATATGAAGATTTTGACTTATATTTTTTTCCAGGAATTCCTGCCTGCGGTGACCCAGGTGAACCTTTGCATGGTAATCGTTTACCAGACGATAGAACAACTTACTCTGTCAGTGCTACTCTTCATTTCACCTGTCAGGAGGGCTATACATTATCTGGAGAAAACGTTTTAAGATGTATGAATAATGGAGCATGGAATCATCAAAGACCATCGTGTGAAGGTAAAGTGACAATTATGTTAATAACAAATAAATTATAATTGACTCCTATTTAGCCCCGTCAGCATAATACTGCTGTTCTTCAGGCCCTCGAAAAAAATTTACCCCTGTAATTACAAAGGGCAAATTTACACCTGGCTTGATACTGGCAGAATGTGGATTTATGTCTTGCTAAAGGACATTTATACCGAGATTAGGATCCGAACCCTCAACGATATATTCCGTATTTCATAAATATTCGTTATATGTAGTCATGCTTTGAGATAGGGGTTTACACGCTAGCGTAGTGACGGATATCAAGACAGCTATGAAACTTCAGTAATATGCGGCTGAAAGTATGTTAAATACTTAATTCATTACGCAAGGGGTTGTCAAAAGTGTCTACAAATTTACCATCAATAAAAATGTAATTGATGAAAATTTACATTAAGGTATTCTCATCTAAGAGGCTAGTAATAAATAAACAAAACGAATTTAAGTAGTGTTTTAAGACGTTTTTTTTTTTATGTCAAAAGAAACGATAGCATCCCTTCATTGAAATATTTATAATGACATGATATTTATCCAGTCTTTTATGTTTTTCTTTTCTTTTTCTTTTCTCTTTTCCTGAATAGCTGTCGAATGTGAAGGAAGCCCACCACAGGTCGTCAATGCATCAACCCTGATACTAGGATCAGATTATCAAGATATAGCTGTATACACCTGTCAAGATGGTTATATTCCTGATCAGGAACCAATCAGCTTCTGTCAGCATACAGGCAACTGGAGTATCCCTAACTTTACATGTTCAGGTGAGTTGATATTTATTTATTTATTCATCTATCTATTACATTTTCTCTATACAGGGTAGAGTCTTCAGTCCATACAACTGCTTTGCAAAAGACCCATGCAAGTAGGGCAGGTAGATGGTTTGTTTTACCTGACAGGTAAAAATGGGTACACTTTGGAAAAAGGTAACCAGATGACCGGCGGCTCTAAGGCCTCTCCAAGACTCTGGGTAAATTTGTTAATGTTTCTGTTTTTTAATAAGTATGCATTATTAAATGATCCTAGTTTCTTAGATTTCTCACTTTTGATTACGTAATTCCGATGCCATTTTCTTTTTCATCATAGACAATCCAAAGGGAAATACATCACCTAATGGAGGTGAGTAACTTCGCGATTATCAGATAATTATCTTTTATTGTATGCTTATCATTTATATTTGTAAAAATGCAAAAGAAAAAGAAAATCAAACAGAAATAAATAAATCAAATCAAATCAAATCAAATATCTAATCGGCAAAAGTACATTTCAAATACGGTTATCTTAAAAAACGGTTGTATAATATAAATTTAAAGAAAAACTTAAATACATTCATTTAAACATGTAGCAATCCATTATGAGCCATTGAGTTCATCCTTTTTCCCGCCAGAGTAAAACAGAACAAACTTGTTTATGGTAATTCCTCCTGGCAAACGTAAAAATATAACATGAATGTAAATCATGTAATGAAGATGCATTCAGTAATTCGATGTTTCAAACAGACCAATGTAAATGGTTATTACAAAATGTAATCCTTCATATAATGTTTAGTGATCATGTACATAGGGGCCACTCAACATAATGAAGACGATTAATAAAAGGTAGATTAACATTATATAGACGGGCTGCTTGGTTATAGGATTCAATAGGGAATAATGTTTTCAATGGAAACAAAATATGTAAGCGTTATACATAAAAATGTAGCTATAGATTAATACAGGTGGTTACTGAAGCATGTCTCATTGACTGTATAAAGAAAGATTGTTGCACAACCTAAATTAATCAAAGATTGTAAATTAGATGTAGTGATTATTAGTATTTCTTTATTCTGGCCAAAAGGTTTAGTATAAACACAATATGAAGCATGAACGTTTGGTCAATAGCCTTCAGCTATATCTCATCATATTTCAAATAATATTGAATGTGAAGAGGACCTTTCTAAAACCACATTCTTCACAAATATAATGATAACACGAGAAAGCTCACATTTTATTGTCATATCTAACCTACCTACTTATTACAACTGAAACGTATTTGTAATGTCTTTTTTCTCTTGAAAGCTGCTGCAGCTGGATCCGTGGTGGCCATCCTTTTCATCTTAGCACTAATCATTTTAACCGTCATCTTATTCAGAAGGTATATATATATACCTTTTATTTTTCTCCTCTCTTTTTCTTCTTCTTTGAATTATTAAGTCTAATTAACGCCATTTGTTTTACCTTTGCTAAAAATATAATAGATTGACCCGTTAACCAGAGTTATCTTATGTGTATCAACTGTACGCTGTTTCGACATAGGCACAAACATAAACTATTTTAATAAAAAATAAATATCAAGATCCCATGCTTTGGCAATTTTTTTTTTCTTCTCTAGATATTCTTCATTTCAAATCAAGTCCACGCTCTAAATCAAAGACTTTTGAGCATATAAAATCCAACCTTTGATCTATTTGTCATGGATTTAACGAATCATTCCCTCTTTGATATTAGCCAACATTCTACAAGACCATCCCCCCCCCCCTGTAACCAAGAGTGATTGATACAAAAAAGAAATAGATAATGTTTTGCATTTCTATGGTATAAGTATGTATACATGTGTGATTTCATGAATGTACTTATTTAAAAGTTTCGAGAAGTAAGGCTGTTCACAATAATTAATGCTTACATAACGATAAATCGAACGATGTAAGAGTTGGATCGAGCATTTTAAATTGGTTAATCTACCATTTAAAATGATTTACTCCTATAGAACGGCACTTATGAATGATGATATAAGTAACCTTGAAATGTTTACAGTTTACATTTTGTTAATGATCTTTCTACAGGCGTCGTGCGGCTAAACCTGTCCCACCCGTTGATGAAAACGTAATGGAGAACTATGCCGCAGTTGCAAACTGCTACGAAGAAAGCAAGCCAGCAGACCGCACTCCTCACGAACCATATTATCCAACAGTTGAAGCAGACATCGATCAAAATGGCGGATTTGGGACTTCCGTTGCTGAGCAACCCTCTCCGCATCTTGGTTTCGTGGATAATGTTTTATATGGAACGAGTGATGATCAAACTGTGAGGCCGTCATCGTTGAATCGTAACTCTACTGATCGAAGTCCTGGACGTCCAAACCTTGGTCATCCCGGCAGCGGTGCTCCCGAAACTAATGAGGACACTTACGAAGGCTATGAATAGAAGAGATTATGGTTGACAACGAGCTTTGCGGTGCTTCATTCCTGACAACTCCTCGAGCTCACAAGCTCGAAACGGTGGTTGATCAGGGAGATGACGCCGTTTATGAAATCACCGACGGGAACGATCCGGTGGTTGGCGAGGGGGACGGTGAGATGTATCAAAGCACCGAATTCCATTCAGTGCCAACTAACTTGACAGCGAATGAACTTTACAAAAGCGTAGATGAAATTTAATTGAGTTCAGTAATTTCCATTGTATATATTTAATCATTCGAACCATGATATATCTTCCACAGACTATTACTTGCTATTGGCAATGTTATCATATAACACAGTCGTTAATCTGTATGGTGCATCAATCTTTCTAAAACAGTTTGAAAGACAATTATTAGGAAATGTTCCAAACTTCACTTGTGCTAGATTATACAGATGTCAAGGTTGTGATATCGTTTTTCATGAATTTGAATCTAATGATTGAAGTGATTATTTCTCATTCGTTGAAAAAAGTGCAGTTTGTGCTGTCGCCTGCATATTAATGTATATATATATATATATCATGTAAAAATCAAGAAAATCCTTAAAAGATGATATAAATGATAGGATGCGAAAGCTAATGTGGTTAGATTAGCAAGTGTGCGCTTGTACAAAAAGACGCCTAGCCGGAATGCTCCCCAGGGAGTGGAGAATGTGCATACATTGTGTGCGGGTAAGCCTGAATCCTATGACCGGGGTAATAATATATATATCTGTAAAGCGCTTTGAGAGGGCCTTCGGTCCTGAAAAGCGCTATATAAGAACTAGCTGTTATTATTATTATTAGTGATATTTATTGTCATCTTATATATTTATTTTAGGGTATATTTGGTATTCTACTGTTGACTGTTTATAAAATACTTGCATGAATAATATTATCAACTTTAAACTCTGCATTGTACTTTCGGCATTGGGGGAGGGGGTATAAGGACAGAGAAAGCGCTATTAGTAAATTATTTGGTAATGGAGGCAAACGACACACTCTCTCTTTCTATCTCTCTCTCTCTCTCTCTCTCTTTCTCTCCTTCCCTCTCTCTCTCCCTCCCTATCTCCCTCTCTCCCTCTCTCTCTCTCCCTCTCTCTCCCTTTCTCTCCTTTTCTCTCTCTCCATATCTCTCCCTCTTCCCCCCTCTCTCTCTCTCTATCCCCCTCTCTTTCTCTCTCTCCCTCTCTCTCTCTCTCTCTCTCTCTTTCTCCCTATCTCTTGCGCTTTCCATCTGCTCCTTTCTTTCTACCCTTCTTTGATTGTAAATATTAAACAATTTAATTATAATAACAAACAAGTCATGTAAAAATGCTGTGACGCTGTATTTATTTAACATCATCACTTTACATTTCATTTTGTACGAAATAACAAATTGAGTCAGCGAAAGTACTATTTAAGATATATTTTTTTTATGTACAAGTTTATTTACAATATTAAAAAAGCAAAACTGGCATTTAAAAATGAAATTCTGCAACAGTAAACCGTGCTATAACAAAGATTACACGATTTGACCTTGGCTCTAATGATATAAATGTAATATATAATTAATTTATCTTTTTTTTTCATTGAACAAATATTTGTGTTTGTATGCATCTTATTTAATGTACTTAAAAAAACTATAATTATGTAAAATGAAGAAATAATTGTTACTTTATGTATATGATCATGTTTTTGCGCTTAAATGAAAATTGTTAAGCTAACAAACTTACTATCGTGACAGTATTATTGGCAATGCTTTCTTGGTCCACTCTTTTTTAAATGTTCAAGTACTGCAAATGAGATCTCCAATAAATTGCATGTAGCTATAATTGATCACGTTTCTGATTTCTTGTTAAATAATCTGTAATCAGGGATACAAAGTTGCTGGGCAGAGTAAAGCTTATACAAATATCAAAGTGATTTGTTTAGAAAAAGAGCTTGAAAAAACATAATGCAAAGATTATGCAAAGAATAACATTTATCCGTAAGTACTAATAATCACAAGTTAAGGGCAATTCATTGAAAATATAACTTGAAGCTATGCAAGAACCCCTCGAGACTGATCAAAATTACACCTTATATGATTATATGATTCACATATTAATTATCTCATGACAGCAAATAAAGTCTCATATGACCTGACAGTGGTGCAAACGATTCGTTTTACTAGAGAATACATTTTGACTATTGTAATACCAGTTACTGTTACTGGCATAGATCTACTAGTCATATTTGTTCCCTATTAGTTAAGAATTATATTCAAGAAAATGTTATGCCACAAACTTTGAAATCCCAAACGACACATCACTGAATGTTTAATTAGCCAAAGTTTCCTGCAACAAATTTACATTGATACTGCTTTCACTACAATGATTACGTTTGGGCATATTCAGAGATAATGCTATGGTTGCTACTCATTGACACTACATTACCTGCATTGTTCCCGCCTAAGACTCATTTAATCAATCTCGAAGGTTTTAGTGTGTACACTTCTTTAATGAAAACGTCGTGCGGCTATTATTATCTCAATAAGCCTAACATTTGTTATTCTGTATTCTAATTCGATATAATCACTTATGAACACTCATCCTTGCTAACTTGCTACACGTAACAGGCGACAGTTGATACATTATTTGTGAAATCA